AAGTGCCTCTTCTTAGGCAGCCAGGCAGCCTCGAGCACCAGGCATGAGTGCAGAGGGCAGTCAGGGGGTGGGGGTTGCTAGTAGCAGAGTGACCTGAGCAGAGGTTGGCTGGAGTTGTCCAGACCAAGGGAGTTCTGGAAGCTAACTTTAGGGCTGGTGGCTTCAGTGTTCAACTTGCAGAGCAAGAAGGTGACTGGCCCAAGGTCACAGGGTCCTCGGGGTTCTTGGACCCTCAAGATAGGTATGACCATTGCTCCTTTTATGTCACCAGCAATAGGTGTTTCCCAATGCTGTGTCTCTCCAGCCCTCACAGCTAATATTTGTCTCCTGTCGATCCAGTCTCCAGCCGGTTACTTTTTAACTGGAATCAGGGTTCAAAGGCCTGAGTTTTGTTTAAACACTCATTACATCGGGGAGGGCATGTCCCCCTGATAATCTCAACTGATGAATAAGCAAGGATCCTCTAAGTAAATACAGACTGTAGAGAAGGTATGGCGGGGGTGGGGGTGGGGGGGAGGAAGGGCGGACGAGGGGGTAGTGACAGGAAGTGGGAAGACTCCACTGCCAAAAGAGGTCTTAGACTTTGTAAGGAAGGTAAATCAAAAAACAAACCCCAAATCTAAACTTTCTGCCCACAAATAATATTAAATATAATATCTAGGACCCTTTATAACAGCAGTTCTCAACCTGTGGGTTGCAACCCCTTTGGGGGTTGAACAACCCTTTCACAGGGGTTGCCTAAGACCATCGGAAAACACATATATAATTACATATTGTTTTTTTGATTAATAACTATGCTTTAATTATGTTCAATTTGTAACAATGAAAATACATCCTGCATATCAGATATTTACATGATGATTCATAACAGTAGCAAAATTATAGTTATGAAGTAGCAACAAAAATAATTTTATGGTTGGGGGTCACGGCATTAGGAAGGTTGAGAACCACTGCTTTATAAGAATACAACAATGTCCATCAGTTAGTTCCTGGGGGTAGAGAACCCACCCCTCAGCCTGGTCCTTACTGCCCTTTAACTCTACTAGACAAAGACAGGTTTGTACTGCGCTGGAGGCACCTGGAGAAAAGGAGGCCCTGGCTTGCAAGGTGGAGAGTCTGCCCCGCAGCAGAGGTGGGGTGGCCCCTGGGAGGCCCTGGGCTGGGGCTGTCCCTGAGAAAAGCTGTCTCTTCAGGCGGGCATCCCTTATGCACAATGGATTTTGTTGTCTGAAGCAAAAACCCTTCCTTCCATGGTTTGCTGGTACCTAAATACCCCCCTTTATCCCTTTTGGCTCAAGCCAAGCTTCACCTTTGGAGTTTGCTAAAATAAAAATACTTCCGGAAGGAGGCATATGTTTAGTGTAATCAGGCATTACATCTTAGTGTGAACGACTGTATTGGGTCTTTCCACTGAGAGAGGCTTTGGTGGAGTGGGTGGGGGGTGCGCAGGAAAGTGCAATGTCTGAAGGGAATGGTGGCTGAGCCAGAAAACCTGGGCTCAAGTCTCCACTCTGCAAGGGATCGCCACCCACAGGCTCATCTCGGTTCCCAGAATCCCATAGTGTACCGTTGAGACAAGCAAGCACTGCCAAGCACAGCATGGACTGTGATGGGGAGCCCCGATACCCAGGAATTGCTTCCTCATGCCAGCGTTTTGGGGCCCTTACTCTGGCTCAGGGGCTTCTCCTGGACTTTGAGGAAGACAAGGGGAAAGGCAGAGGAGTGGCGGGCTCTGGCCCGACCAGGAAGAGACAGAATTTCCTGCAGGTGGTTGCCAAGGCTGATCCCCCTAGGAGGATGTGTTTCTTGAGGTCAATGTGAACTCTTTAAATTGTCCTGCTGTCATCTCCGCGGAGATCTCCAAGATGCTGAGCAGCTGCCAGCACCCCTGTGCTCAGGCTCCACCCCCTGCCCCCCACCACTCCAGGGCCCACCTGCGTGCTGCCCCACCCTGAGGCTGAGGGGGCCAGGCTGCCTCCCTCCATGAGATGATTTAGGGAATGAGACCAGCTTGCAGGGTTTTCGGCCAGAATTGGAGGCAGAAAAGTCTGGCCTTACCGGCCCTGCCCCCATCCCTGGCTCCGCCAGTGGCGGCAGAGAAGCCATCTGTCGCTGTCCCAAGCTGGGCTGCCAGTGCCCCTCCTTTCTCTCCTGGCTCAGTGACAAGCAGCCCCTCTCCCTCAGACCTGCCACTGGAGAGAGAAGGTAGGGTGCCCAGAGTCCCACAGGGGCAGAGTGAGAAGCCGACCACCCCTCCCTGCGGGCCTCCCAGTTCCCAGGAACGAGACACACCCATGGTCATTGCCATTCCGGTCACTGCAGGGGAGGGAGGGTTGCCCTGGGAGTCACCGAAGGAAGGTGGCAGGTGAGGACAACAGCGCTGGGCACATGCAGAGTGATCCAGGGCAAGCACCCAGCCTCTCATGGCTGAGGCCCTATGTTGTCAAACGTACTCAATTGTGTGATTCGAGCCTGAGGAGCCCTGAGCACACACAAGGCGGAATCTTCACTGTCAACTTGTCCCGCCATTCAGCCCGGACAGGGCCAGGCAGGACTGAAAACTGTTCACTTCCTCGTTCTGGGAACTGCAGGCAGAACTCCCGCAGCAGGATATTAGAAGCTGCCCAAATGTGTAATTTTCCTTTAATAACAGTCACCTATGGGGCGCGGCTACAGGGTTTTGGCCAGGTCCAAGCCTCGGACTAATGAAAGGACAGGGTCCTCTCATTGCCACGTGCAAGTCCCAGCTGGAAGGCAGGGCCCTCCCAGCACAATTATAGCCAACGGCTTTGGTTGTAAACTTGAACCTATAACCTGAACACGTGGCCCCACGTGCCTTGTTGTAGAGTTCAGGTGCATGTAGTTGAGGTTGGAACTCACGAGAATGCTGTAAACAACGTGATCACGCCCCTACTTTGCCTCGTGGCATCTGCTATAAAGACACGGCTTGTGGGCGCTGGCGCTGTCTCCTCATCAGGGAGCAGTGTCCCACCGAGACCCAGCTTTCATTCTCTTATTTGTCTTTCCTTAATCCTTTCCCCCCGCCACCCCACTCAGTTTACCTTTGGCTGCAACAGTCACCTTCAGCGGCCAGCCTGTCCCTTTGGGTGGGGTGTGCACGGCCCTTCCAAGCTAACGTGTCCGTAAGTTAGCCCTCCCTCAGGGAAGAATAAGGCTTTCCCAAGCACTGGGGTGCGGGGAGGTGAGCAGAAAGCTTTGGGAGAAAACCTGTGCCCTCCCCTCCCGCCCTCTGGGCCCTGTCAACAGCGAGCCATGCATGCGAGCTGCAGACCTGCCAGTGATGTGTCCCCTGGATGCGCTGAAAGGCACCCTTGAAGTGGCAAGTTTGCGGAGCACCTGCCTACAATGGGTTAAGTTAGAACAGCCAGTTCAGACTTTAAGACGAAGTCCTTTAGGTGGACACAGAGGAGCTGTGTCCCACTCTGGGCTCTGCCGTCGAGGGGCCTGGGCAAGGCTGAGACTCAAGGGCCGTCTCTGACCTCCCCCCCTGACGCCCTGGGCGCTGGGGAGGCCTTTTCCGAGAAGGCCCAGCCGGGGTGAGGTGGCACTCCACCTCCAGGCAAGGGGAGGAGCTCCCCACGCATCCTGCCAGCAGTTTATCCTCTGTCACCTGGGACTTGTAGCCCAGTGGGGAACATGGCCAGGACCAACGTGGGGGAGAGGACAGGGCACTGCAGAGGGGCTGGGTTGGGAGGGACAGAGAGACTGGGGCTGACTTACCTTTCCCCCAGTCTAGTCTGAGGTCAGCCTTACAAAGGAAGGGGGGGGGTCTTCGGTCTCACCCCCGAGTCCCCACCAGTGGGCAGCCCCCAGACTGTGACAGGGTCTGCAATGCATGTTTGAAGGAGTCTGTGTTGGGTCTGAAGTCAATTCCCGATTCATGTGTTTTCCTGTCCAACTCAAGTCCTACAAATACTTGCTTCGAGATCCCACAGCCCGAGCTCTCTGGAAATGCATGCTTTTGAGAAGGTTCTCTGGCAGGCGAGAGGGCACCAAAGGGCCAGCAAGTGGCTTTTGCACCCATAGGTTCAGGACCCCTATGAATGGGTCCCAGGGCCAACCATGGGAGCTAGAATTCCTGGAGACCCAACACTCACTTTTATAAGGGGCTTTAAAATTTCCAAAGTGCCTACATCACTCTTGGACTCCAGAAAAGGCCAAGAGCTGGTGGACCTAGCAATGTGTTCTGAGGTATAATCTATTCCTCTACTCTTTTTACTTCACGTTATGTTTTTCTCTAAGGAGGAGCATAAAAAAGTTCAGAGCAGTTCTGTCCATTGGCCAGTCCCTTGTGTTTGTGTGAGGCTGGATGAGGCAGCAAGGGCTCAGAATCTGACACCTTTCCAGTGAGATACCATGCCCGCTAACACGCTAACTGAGAAACACGTCACAAGAAACCAAGGATGGAGTTATGTCCTGCTTGGATGCTCCCTCCTGGCAGTCTCTGCGGGGATTAGGTTAGGGCCATCATAAGGATGCTTAGTCCTAAAGAAAAAAGGAAACATTTTGAGGAATCTGCGAATTTTAACCAAGGATAGAGAAGAGATCTGGGTTCTGATAGCCTCTTTCTTCCGAGACCCACTTTGGGTTTTGTGACTGAGTCTTGTTAAGTCACATAAATTGAGCACTGGTTGGACAAAGACCAGAACTGTCTTTGCAGGGATGGACTGGCATGGATTATAGAGTGTTAGATAGTCATCAATTCTCAAGTTTAATAAAATGACAGATGGATAAGATCAGATGTGCATCTCATTAAGCTGAAGCCAGGAGTTTTGGGCAGACTTTAGTGATGTTTCTAAAGAAAGGACAGCTAGCACAGTAGGTAGGTGATCGAGAATTGTTTCTAAAGGTGTGGAATCTTAGGGAGATTAAGGAAATGAACTTGCTCTGAATCTGCAGGCATTTAACCTGCGGCAGCCCGACGATACATTCACGAAGAAGCTTTAAACAGATAAGCCATAATACTGGATGTAGAAATGTTCCAGCTTCCATAATTCTTTATTAAATATTTGACAAGTTGCATCACTTCTTTACAATGACTTCACTTTGTCACATGACTGTTTTTCTGTCAGGAAAACAATCTACAAGTTCTCATTCGATTGCTCGAGTAAAATGAAAAGCCCGAAGGACTCTGCTCTTAAACAAAAGTTTTCCTGTGTGTATCAAATGCAACCATATCTGAGAGCTACTTTGATTGTGAAAATGAGCACTGTCTGTAAGTTGTCTTAAAAAATGTCAAAGTAGTTTGGTATTTAATCACTGTATCAAATAGTACTTGGCTTTTTCAGGTGGTGGGTTTATCAGACAAAGTTATGAAACACTGAGAATTCATTTGGAATGCTTGAAACTCTTTTCACCTTCAATGTCACTGTGTTTTTTTCATGTTTCATTTGATAATCGATCCTGAATAAATGACAGCATATTAACATCATCTTCGGGGGCGGGGGGGTTCTCTCTGGTTCCGAGGGTCAGAATTCTCAGGGTACAGCTTGGAGAAAACCAGAAGGAACTAAGCTCTCACTCCCTTTCAAAGCCAGGCTGCTCAAGAAAGGTGTAAAAATGCTATACAAATATATACATATATATTTGGACAGCATATGTACGCATATTTGTATATAAATATTTTACATACATAGTAGAGAAAGAACAAAGTTACGCAGAACTATTACATGAAGGAAACCGTGACAAGCTAGGTGAAATCGGTCTCAGTAGGAGCTGCAAACTGGCTTCTATGGGAACACAGATGTCTGCAGACACAGGGTCACGGTCACGAGAAAGGCTGGCGATGCACAGGTACAAGGCTGAGAATGCAATTCACAGAGGTCGGTGGCCAATGTCGTTGGGGAGTCCTATTGTGACTCCTTACAAACAGACTAACCAACAGAAAGACATGCATTTTAAACATGCATTGCCGCACGTTACACCTTTAAAGATGGAGAGATGTCTGATGAGAGGTTTTCTTGGAAAAGTTCACACAGAAAGCTCTCCTTTTCTATAAAACATTATACAGCTCACGTCCTAATGCTACGGCATTTTCTGACACACTGAAAACTCTCGTGTGTGTGTGTGTGTAGACATATGCAAGGGTATATACACTGTTCATTAAGGCTTAGATAAATTAAAAAAAAAAAGTGGTCCAAAGTATATCACATTTTCTTCCCAGTTTTAAAATCTAAAGTACAAAGTGAAGTTTGTAAGGATTTTTAAAAACACTTCTCAGACCTGAAATTGGCAGTTTTGACTTATCAGGATGTATCCCAAAGCCTGGATGCCAGAGAGGTAGTGATCTCCTGGGGTCAGGAAGGGAGCAGACCAGGCAGTTACCCTGCGCAGTAGCACCCCCTATTGGCAAGGCGGAAAATGACACCGGACTGCACGTCCCTCCCCTCCCTGTCAGTACAGGGGTGCAGACTCTGGGTGAGGAGGAAAGAGGCAAAGAAAGGACAGCTAGCACAGTAGGCAGGAGATCGAGAATTGTTTAACCCAGGCTCATTTTATAGGTTTTAAAATTTCAGAGCTGAGAGATAAGACTTAGGAAAATGCTAGTCAAGTGTTCAGCAATTAGCAACTGTTAGAACAATTAGTAATTTGTTGCATATGAACTTGGCTTTTAAGGGAGCCAATTTGGACCTGGCAAGATCAAACAGCAATAGTACATGCTGTCTATTTTTATCTTAACAATGTGAGATGGAGAAAGTGTTTCAAATGTTTTGCAAACCACTTTTCAGAAGGCGGGAGGAATAATCCGTGTCAGGTCTCTTGATAGCATTGGTCACCTGACCCTTAGGGAATAACTGATGTTAGCTACAACATCTCTGCAACAAACAGTCAAAGAAGCATCTCACACTGTGACCTGGCAGAGGCCTGGCTGCAGGAAGGTAAATAATGGAAATGTTTGGGGAGCTAGAGAGGAGTGCTGACTGGGAACACAACTTCCAAACAGACAAAGGCTCGTTGTTTCCTTTTCTCCAGGCAGCACAGCCCCTGAAGCTAATCCCACCGACAGGACCTTCCTAATTGATCTCCAGGTCAACAAGAGGCAGGAAGAGAAATAGCCAGAACAGACGGTTGTGATAACTGATGTTCAAAGACCTTCAACATGTAGTATGTAAACGCGGGAACTTACCTCCTAAACTCAAGGCAAGCCGGCCCATGATAACCATGCCTTCTTCTAGGAACTAAAACACACACACGTGGATTCAAGTGATTTCTAAGGAAACAGAGGCTCCCTGGACTCCGGAGCAGGGTCACTGCTGGGGACACCTAGAAAGGGTGACGCAGGCTGCTGACCAAAGCGGTGGAGGCCCATGGAATGACCCATCCTTCTGCTCCTCACCTGACATGCTTTCTTTACTGCCTGCTGTCATTACGTCCCGAAGATGACGCAGAGTGGTCAAGATTTAGAGGAAACAAGAGATATGACTACTTTCAACAAAGAGTGAAACATGGAGAATTGTTGAGAACTAGGAAACCTTATTTGGATTACAAACAAGCAAAAATGAATCTCAAACCCAGCACTATTGAGCTGTTATTGAAATTAGATATTAAGGAATAGATGAACTGAACTGTCATTCACAATCACTGCTATTGAAATATTTATAGGGGCAATATGTGGATAATTCTCATCTGTTCCTGGTATACGGATTATCTTAGAGTGATTTTTTCTTTCATATTTTTAAGACTTTGTCTAATTTGCATTTAACAAATACTCTGATTTTGAATATATAATTTAAAAGTGATAGAAGACCCCCAGTCTTTATGCCAGAATTGCTGGATTTCTTCCCCTCCAGTCACATGATCATTCTCAGAACCCACCCAGCACGCTGCTCACCCAGGCTCTGGCACAAGTCTGACAAAGAAAGCTGACCCTGGAACAAGGAGGGACTGTACTAACGGGTTTTGCCACTGAGACATTTGTTGGGGGCGGGGGGAGATTCCACCAACAGATAAAAATACTGAGCAACACTGTGGTTTTTTCTCCCTAATTACTCAGGATCTACTTTTTCTGGTCACTATTAGGTACTTTAAAGTCAATATGCAAAGGGAGCCAGTCCTCAGCTTGGCAGAAACCCACCTTCTTTAGACACCGTGGACTTTAGCTCATTTACAACCACAAACACACAGCTTCTCACAAGCCACAAAACAGAATTTCTTCCACCAAAAGGTCCTTCTTGCATAACAAACAGAGGCCCTAAAGCCACCATTTTTGTCTTATTTATGACTGGCGAGAGATAGATCTCTAGTGTTCCCTGGTAACCACCGCAGGGTCTAGGACAACACAGAGTAAGAAGCCCGCAGGGCTGAACTCCCACACTGCCTCGGGTGATCTCTCAAAACAGAATTCTGCACCAGGAGTTACAGCAGCAAAGGATCACACTGTGCACACATCCTCCCCCTGCCCCCCAACCAGCTCGACAGCCTGGCCGCAGAGGGGCAAGTCCCCCTGCTCCCTTTTCATCTGGCACATGACAGACACAGGCAGCCCAGAGCACGGAAGCAGCATGCAACACGTCACAGGGAACAAAGCTGGTTCAACCGCGTGCGTATTAAACTCATCTCTGAGCAGAAATCAAAAAATGATCGGCGAGGACAGGTCTGTCAGCTGAGCTTCACAGCCAGGTTCTATACACCAGCAGCCAGATTCACTGTTGACAGGTATGGCACCAGAAAGATGTGTGCAGGGAGAGAAATAATCATCAGATTTAATGTCCACAAGAAACAAAACACAAACCAAACCAGGTATGACCTCCACGTAGTACATAAAGTGCCTTCGGAATTGGTGCAGTTAGAACAACTGTGATCTAGCAATTATCAGCAAACACGTACAACAGGAGACTAGACAGATCTGGTTTCCAGTTTCAGATCAGGCAGTGCCGAGTTTCATTCAAATAAATGTCTCTACCCCGAACAGCAAAGAGGGAAATATAATAAAAGATAAAGTACAGCATCAGAAAGGGTTAAGTAATTTCTCCTATAAGAAATGACCGCCCAACCCCGTCTCAAATGTGTTAGAACACGTGTGAGTACTTTAGGGAATAATGGTGTGATTCCTTCCAGTCAACACAAAATTTGTCATGCTATGGTACAATTCTCCCAGCCTGTAGCGATTATGCTAAATTTGTACAAAAAAAATCTAATATCCACTTTGTTTTCATTTTGAGTATGGAAAAAATTATCATTATGCCTAATGTTATACTTTAAATGCTCTCGAAGTACTTGTCTGTAAGAACGATTTGGACATAAACCAGTCTTCCAGTTCTAATAAAGTCGAGTGCAGGGGTGTCAAAGTACTTCAAAAGCAAAAATGTCACAGACATTAAACCTGGCATCAAAGTCAAATACAAAAAAAAATATATGCTCACTTTTCCAAGTACATGAGACATCTTTAATTGTAATGAAATGAAATCGGAAAATCGGTCTAAATCATTTTCAAAAAGTAAACATGAGTTGTAATACTATACCTGTAGAGTGATTAATTCCATTCATTGTCATTATAAAGTATGCAAAATATTTATTAAGGGCTTTGCCTATAGAGGCACAACATAAATAGAATTAAGTCCTCCTGAAATGTAATTAGTGTACACATCAACCAGTTGATAATTCACGGTGGAAAATGCAGAAACGGGACCTGGGACTGGGTTCCCACGTCTGGACTTGGGCAAGTCACGGGCGAAGGCTCTGCTCCAGGAGCCTGCTGTGCAATGCTCCCTGCCATCCATCGTCTCTGCAAAGTCCGTTAGGCAAACGCAAAAGTGCAAGCAGGACTTGCTGGACGAACCACCACCCGAGGCAGGGGCGCTTAATCCACTCCCTCAAATCCTTGAGCGTTTTCCACAGCCATGAGAAGTTTCTCTCGTAAATCTTCAAAGGTTTCGTATGGAGGTAAGTCAAGGCGGTTAAAGCTGCAACAGCAACAAAAGTGTAGGTGACAAGCCATCCTCAGTATCCTTCAGTTGTAGCAGCATTTCCTAGATTTGGCTAAGGGGCATTTGGTGTTGGAGCAAGAGTATGCAAATGTCTTAAGTGAAGTCTGATGATCAGAATATAAATGCTAGCGAGGAGACTGTCCACACCCAATAGGCTATATAACCTGCCGAGGAGAGAAAAGACTTTTCTAATAGTCCATGAAACCTCTCTACTCCAGTTCCATAGGAGACACTGACATACACTCTAAGATTTCAAAACCCTATAAACACAGAAGGTTTTATGCATTAGGTGTTCTGGATGCATGGAGCCGTGTCATTCCCGAATGCTCTCACTTTGACATCAGGCCCTGAGCCAACCGCTTGGTTTCACAGGCCATGGTTTTCATCACAGGGTAGTGATTTCTCTGTTCTGCAGATGAGGGTCCTGCCTCACAGAGAGGTCACATCACTGTGTCCGAGCTCTCGCCCCTGGCAGTGCGGCAGACTCAAGACCAGCACCAGGCTGCCTGGGCTCCAGAACCAGAGCTAAGCTGCCTCCACCAATTAACGTCAGGCAAGCAATAGACATGTGAAGTGAAAAGCTGTATTTATAAAAAGCCCTGATTTACCCTGACGTTTCGTTTGGGGTGTACAAATCCCCCCGCTGGTAGCAAGGCACACTTGTCTAAGAGACCAAGTTCAAAGTCTGGCTCAGCCACTTGCCAGATGTGTGACCTGGGCGGGCCACCATCCTCTCTGAGTCTGTCTGCTCTTTGGCAAAATGGAGAAAATGCTTGCAGGGTGCTGGAAGGGTCAAAACCGAGCATATATAAGTGTCCTGGCACACAGCAAGTGCCCAGAGATGGTGAGCATTGTGATCATTCGCTCACCATTCACTGAGTGCCCACATGGGACATGAGGAGTGAGAGCTCAGTCACAGGATTCATGCCTTGGGGGTTGGACTGCTGACGTGTACCTGTCATGAAAATGGCCACCCACCCGTGCCACAGATAATGATGGTTTACTCTGTGAAGTCAGCACTGCTAAGTACTTTTCATTTATGACTTCAGTGAATCCTAGTAATTACCCTATAAGGTAGGTCTTGCTTCATCCCTAGTTGAGGCACAGAGAGGTTAGGTAACTTACTCAAGGTCACACAGTAAGCATTAGAGCTGGGATTCATACCTATGTTGGCTCCAAAGCCCAGTTCTAACCACTGTTTGTGCTGTCTCAGTGTATAAGATTGCTCCCTCCTGGCAATGACATATGATTCCAAGTTTGAGAAGCTAATGATTATCAGCAGCGGTAAAAAACACACATCCACAGTAGTTCCTTTACCAACCCCTGAAGTGTTTAATAAGACACACTAAGCTCTCGAATTTTTTAACAGTCCCTAAAGATTGTAAGACATAGCAGAGAATACCACTGCTTCTCAGAGTGGAGTTCTCAGAAACCCAGGAACCCTAAAACAGTAAGTCTAAAAGAAGTTTTTAATTTTGGTTTTCATTCTGATGACAACCTCGAGTATTATTTTACGTTATAAAGACAGAACTCCATGCCTGCAGACCCCACTTAAAGGAGCTGATCACAGAAGGTAGCTTTAGTATTAATTTAAGTTGGTATTTCCATTGAGGGCCTGCGTTCCTTAGGGATCTGGAGATGCATTCTTGAAGGTCTGTGACCACTGTTTCCCCTCTAATATGACCCACTTCTTAGCATTGCAGTGACGATACCGGTGGGTACACACGGAGCGCCGAGGACAGTGCCAGGAACACACTAAGTGCTTAATGGGTGCAGTTACCACTACCACCGAGGTCAGGGGGCCGGGGCAGTCTAACTAACCGTGGACGTCCCTATCCTCGTGGGCTTCAGTGTCCTCGTGGGTAAGATGGTGGGCCGAAGGGGATTGTTTTTAGAGCTGACAACAAAGAGCAGGTATTCTTAGTAAAGTGTAATGTGTGACCTTGGACAGGGCAATGAAATGAAGCCCTTTAAATATCGGACACCCAATAATTACATCTGAGAGAGTGATGGAAAGTGCCAGAAAGAACCAGACCTACCAGCCCTTGCTCTCCTGGTAAATCAGGTTTGCATTTTGAAGCTTAATTGTGTGTTTTATAGGAAACATGGAAGACATTAAACACACACATGGCTAAATCGGACTGTATAAGGAACTCTTGCTGTGAGGCAGCCAGCAAAGCTGGTTTCCTGCGTGACAGTCAGGTCCAGGCGAGCTTGCGAGACAGCCACACCCACAGAGAACAGAGTCCCGCCCTGCCAGCCAGTGTGGCTGCACTTAGCACTCCCCTGGGCCAGGCTCAGTTGTTCTGGGGAGAAGACCATCATTAGGAAGCCAGTCAAGGCATGTACCTGGGTTGCAGGTTTGACCTCCTCCCGCCTCCCCCGCTCCCTTCATGCTCTCTAAATATCAATGAAAAAAAAATCCTTACCCCTTGGGTGAGAATATGGCTTGTTGACATGGGTACATTTTTGTCACTTACCATGTGTGAGCTCTGGGCAGTTTGTCAGGACTCCCCCATTGCTCTATTGTAAACAGTTGAGGACCATTGGAACCTAGACAAAAAGAGAAAAGGACAGTGAATGCTAGCAGTGCTCTAGGGAAGTATGTGACTAAGAAAGAGAGGGTGAGCCCAGACACTCTCTAGGACTGCAGCGTAATGTTTACTATTTAGCTGCAGGAAGCAAGAGGTTTGCACAACCTCACAGCACATGCTCTGTGTCACCTTCAGATGGAACTGAGCTGAAGAGACATCGCAACAATGAAAGTGTGGGATGCTACTGCCTTTCAGCAGAGGCTTGGGAGTTTAAATTTAAAACTACATTTTGGGGAAAAAGGAAACATAACCTTTAATACGCAGAGCAGAAAGTGTTACTTTTTTAATCTATAGTAAGCACTGTGGAATCCTGCTCCCTGGAGGTGAGGTGTCCTGTCAACATTCAGTTTACAGCCATGTGGATGATTCTGCAGAATCTAGTTTTTAAAGATAGACCAAAAACCAAAATAAACAAACAAAAAATACAAATAGTCTCCTGCTCACCATAAAGTTCAGCAAATCCATTCATAGGTACTCGGGACGTCCCCGTGACAAACTGCAGCAACCGGATACGCTTCTCAGCGTCCATCAGCAGCACAGCCTGGAAACAGAGGCAGAAAGTCACTATATCCCCACATGACAGTTGGCACACCTTACTTCTACGGCAATGTAAGACCTAGGTGGCTGACTCTGAAAACGGTCCTTTTATTCTTAATGGCCATCGCAACGCTGGCCTCTCTACTTTAGAGAGCAAGAGATCACAGTGTCTCTTCTGCAATGAGTCAAAATAAGAGATATAAAAAGCAAAGTCTTTTTGATGGCACCAAGCTCAGTTTCTGTTGTGTGAGACCTGCCAGTTCCCTGAAAGCCAATGATAATATACAGAATTTGAGACGTGTCGACACTGGGGGAACCTAGTTTATGAGGTGGGATTTCAGACTGTAGACAGATTCTTGAAAGATGACACTTAAAAAAGAAAAACAGCAAGGATAGGCCTCTGAAATAATCTGTGTATCTTACATAATTGGGTTATTACAAGAATTGAGTTGGTAATGTTACTTGAACTGCTGTAAAAAACCAAACAAACAAAAAATCCAAAAATCAAAACTAAACGAGACTTGGACTAGGGTAGGGTTTGAAGAATCTACTTTTTTCTTTTTATCTCTATTTCTGCTGGCACCTGAAATATTAAAATTAGCCATTTAGATATTAAAACAAGTGATGTGATTTCTTATCTTTGTAAAGCAAAAAATCATTTTTTTTTCTGTAACTGGTTTTTTAAAGTCACTTGACCATCTCTCCCTTAGACCCACTCATTCCCACTTCACTTCTCTCCTAAGCTAAACAGAATGCAAACATTAGCCCTAAGATACTAAATAAAATTTCATTTGTAGCCTGAAAGATATAAAAGATCAAAATGTGTGTTGGAAATAACAAAACAAAAAAATTGGGAAAATTATTTTTTAACCGAAAATAGTATCTTGGAAAAGCCAGCTTCCAAAGCAGGTTTTTGCCCAGAGGCCTCCCATTCTTATTCACACATTGGAGGACTCCTGCAACTCTTGAATCCAATTACCTCCTTTTCAGAATCATCTACTCAATGGGTTCCTCAAACAGAAGCCACTTGAATCTGGGGGTTAAGGAAGGGCAGTGTGCTACGGTAAGGATCAAGGACAGCTGTCCCTGGAGTTACACAAGGGCTGCTTCTAGCTCAGGTTTGCCTCTTCTCTCCGCCAGGAGCCCACGTACTGACAGATCCCCAACTTGCGCAGCTAAACTAAAGCAAGACCGTGGGGAGGGCAGCAGAGCCCTCAGGCCTGACCCAGGTGGAGGAGCTGAGTGTGGGCCCAGGAGGCCCTGGCCTTACCTTCCAGAACCACTGAATGACAGGGTGGTTTGGGCAGTAGCCGTTCTTGTAGATAGTATGTTGTCTCCAGTCATTCACGTCCACATCGCCGAGGCCACACATCAGCAACTAGGAAAGAGAGAGAGCAGAATTGTAAATGGGGCACAACGTGAATCCCAAAGAAATCACACTCGGAGAGGTGGCCTTCCTCAGGGCCAGCATGCTGACCTGAGTTCACAGAAACAAATGCAGGGAATGTGTTCCACATTTTACCTGCCACTGCAGACCAGAGACAGTGTTGGTAACAAGGGGCCCAAGTCTAATGCCTGTACAGACCACACTTCCTGATGGAAATGGAAACTCCAGATTGATCATCTTTCCTCCCTCCCTCTCTAATCTGAGCACAGTGCTCATAGATTTTCTTATGCTCCATTTGTATCTCATTACCCTAGCTGTTTCCCCTTCTGAGAGGTTATTTGTCTCAATATTTGACACTACCTCTCCACCCACAAAAGAATTTGTGTGTTATGACAGCAAGACCTCATCTTGCCCCAATCAATCTATCCCGGGGAAGGGCAAATTACCCATCTGCCCAGTGACCCCAAAGCATGTTCTATGGAGGCAGACCTATTCTAATGTGGTGACCGGCTCACTGACTTAGCAGCTAGCCTTAAGTCTGCTTTTTTTATCATCTAACCCTCCAGTAGGGACGGTTTCCTGTGGGCAAATGAACATGACATTCCTGCAGAGGCACTAAATGAAAAAGAAAGAGAACTGAGCCAGATGCCTGAGAACGGGATGCCCAGGCCTAACTGTGCCAAAACCTTGTTGGGTAAACCTGTGAGGTCACTGACTTCTCCCTGCCTTAGTTTCCCCCACTCCCCGCCCACCTCCCCCTTCCCCAGGCAAATGAAGGGCTTACACTATATGATGTCTATGACATCATCTATTTGAAGTTTCCATTTTAAGATAAAAGCACAAAAAGCCAGTCTACAAGACATGCTTCTCTGGATGTGGTTTGGACAAATGACTAATTGAATCCCATCAACAGCTTCTGAGCACACACAACCTTTCTCTCAACATCAAAAGAGAGAGTCGTTTGCCTTTTTAAAAAAAACATATTTATATTGATTTCTGAGAGGAAGAGAGAGGGAGGGAGAGAGAGAAACATCAATGATGAGAATCATTGATTGGCTGCCTCCTGCACACCCCCACTGGGAATCTAGCCTGCAACCTGGGCATGTGCCCTGACCAGGTACTAAACCGTGACATCCTGGTTCATAGGTGGACATTCAACCACTGAGCCACACTGGCTGGGCTCCTTTGCTTTATAAATTGATAGTTCTCATCTACCTCAACACAAAGAAGCTGAGACAATTGAATATCAAACTACCTGTTGTTGACTTCTGACGTTTCTCCTCCCTTAACACAGACCACTTCAAGTTCACTGACAGGGTGGGTGGGTGGAGGGGGTGCAGCTGGGCCTTGGGAGAAGGGTGCTGCTACCCCAACTGGTGCTGCAACCCTGGCTCTACTAGAAGCAGTTTTCCTCACCTGGGGCAGTGGGCCATGCACCGAACCAGCTCAGGGGGCCTCTGCTTGTCTCGCCTGTCCCAGAACTGCCCTCTCCTGGACAAGGAATCTGCAGGTGACGACTCCTGCTGTTTCCTTACTCCCTGACTGGCAAACAAGCCCCTTACGAGACCTGTAGTAGATTCACTTGCGCTGACGCCCCAGGACATTATGGATCAGAGAACGTTAAGATATCATTTATGAAGTTATAAGAAACTTAAAAAATCTACTTTACACAAAATGTTTACAATACAAACCTCCAGCTCATTTTCATCAAAAATTTTAATCAAATCGATAGGAAGCAGTTCTGTGAATCCCTGAAAGAAAAAAAAAAATCACCCTAAACACCTTTTTCCATAAAAGAGGCAAATTTTTCAGAAAAAAACAAACTTTCTTGATTATCCAGGAAAAAACACATTCTTTACTAATGATTTATAGATCAGCAATAGCATCCATAGTTTCAATTCTAATAAAAACAGCCTAGTCATGATATAAAAATTTTGAAAAAGAATAGAATCTAGAACAGTGATGGCGAACCTATGACATGCATGTCAGAGGTGACACGCAAACTCATTTTTTGGGTTGATTTTTCTTTGTTCAATGGCATTTAAATATATAAAATATCAAAAATATAAATCTTTGTTTTACTATGGTTGCAAATATCAAAAAATTTCTTTATGTGACACAGCACCTAAAGTTAAGTTAGGGTTTTTCAAAATGCTGACACACCGAGCTCAAAAGGTTTGCCATCACTGATCTAGAAGGTTCAGATACTTGAGTAGTTTTTGAAGCCCTCTGAAATACCGGCAGATTCCAGAAGTCACTTATGAGGCAGCCTGTGAGCCAGCGTGTCCTAAAATACACGTGCTATAGACACGCAAGAGGACACAGTTAAGAATCAGGTCCTGACGGCACTAGAATTCAGTGATGGCAAACCTATGACACGCATGTCAGAGGTGACATGCGAACTCATTTTTTTGGTTGATTTTTCTTTGTTAAATGGCATTTAAATATATAAAATATATAAAATAAATATAAGTCTTTGTTTTACTAGGGTTTCAAATATCAAAAAATTTCTATATGTGACACGGCACCAGAGTTAAGTTAGGGTTTTCAAAATGCTGTCATGCCGAGCTCAAAAGGTTCGCCATCACTGCACTAGATGAAACACACAAGGAGGCAGTGGGCTCGGTACAGGAGAGACCGGGGTGCCCAGCATCCACAGAAAGCCTGCTCTAGCTCACAGATAATGTCACTGCCAAGTGGAGGTGCCATGCCTTGGGCCTTGGTAGGGGCTGGGTTTTTTTTAGAGAGAGATTTGTTGTTCCACGTATTGGTTGGTTCTTATATGTGCCCTGACCAGAGATCTAACCCCATTGGCATATTGGGACGATGCTCTAACCAACTGAGCTACCTGGCCAGGGCGGGGCCAGATTTTTAAAAGTATAGAGCAGTGGTTCTCAATCTTCTGGCCCTTTAAATACAGTTCCTCATGTTGTGACCCAACTATAAAATTATTTTCATTGCTACTTCATAACTGTAATGTTGCTACTGTTATGAATCATAATGTAAATATCTGATATGCAGGATGGTCTTAGGCGACCCCTGTGAAAGGGTCGTTCGACCACCAAAGAGGTCGCGACCCACAGGTTGAGAACCGCTGGTATAGAGGGATCAGGTGGAGTGGGGCCCAGGAATGTGCTTCTGGGTTTCTTATATAAAGTAAGAAACCTGTTGTTCTCAAGTGTATCTAACTCATACTTATGCCCCCAAGTCCCTGAAGTCTGGGGTTGGGGATTCTTAATCACCAGGAGCTGGGGTAAATTTCGCATCAGTTCACTGGGAATTTATAATGTACTAGAGGCTGGGTGCATGAAAATTCATGCACTGGGGAGTGGGGGGTCCCCTCAGCCCAGCCTGCCCCCTCTCACAGCCTGGGAGTCCTCACGGGATGTCCTACTGATGGCTTAGGCCTGCTCCCTGCAATCTGGCCTCCCTCTGCAGGAGGTGACCGGGCTAATCAGGGGAAGGTGCCGCCCCTATCGCCGCAGTGGCTGCAAGGCCTGAGCCCTGGGCCTCACAGCTGCCAGGGCTCACTGCTGCCTGAGCTCATGGCTGCCTGAGCCCTGGGCCTCGCAGACCCCAGGGCTAATGGCTGCCATGAGCCCTGGGCCTCGCAGCCGCTGTGGCTTTGTCCGGATGGATGTCCAGAAGACATCTGCCCTAATTAGCATATTACCCTTTTATTAGTATAGATAGTTGGGGCTTGTTTCTAGGTTTGCTTTGAGTAACTAATACCCATTATCAAGATTTAAGAAAGCATTTCACTTTGGGTCAAAGCGAAGCATTTTTAAAAACGATGAATCCATCCCTCCCCTCCAGGCCTCTCACAAGGGATCCGGGGGCACCACTGACATCAAATCCTTGGATCTGAGAGGTGCCTGCGCCCCATGTCATCCAGTGGAAGTTGGCACAAGGTGGTTGGCACTTTGCTCTAAGATAAAATTCAGCCTAAGAAAATACGTTTCCACGTGCTGCACAGGAGCAAAGTCTGTGAGGAGCCATGAAGACAGCATGAAGGGAACGGCTTTGCTACTGAGGAGGTTTGGTATGTTCAGTCCGAGTTCTCAGGCTTCGGACCCATCAAGCACTGCCAAAGACAGAGATGCATCTCCCAGCCTTCCCTTGGGCACCACCCAGAAATGTAGGCCAGTGGGTCTGGCTTCCGTGGGGGCCTACCTCTGGTTCAAGTTTGTAAAAAGTTATCTTTAAAAACAGTTAGGGAACATTAAGACATAAGAAGCAAAGACGAGAGCACTAAACTAACAATATGAAAGGGTGGCCACGTGATGGCTGACACTCCTGCCCTGGGGACTGGTCCATGGTGCAGGCTGTGTGGCCCTGACCTTTGGGCCGTGTGTCCCCAGCCTGTGCCCATTATGTGGTGGGTGATCGTGCCCACCACACCGCCCTCAGGATTGCCCTCTCTCCAGCTCTGACTACAGACACAGGTGGACAATCCCGGCCGCGCAGCTTACCTCCAAGAAGGCGTTCATTTGCTTCTGGACCCTGTTCACAAACCTCCACTGGATGACTAAGCTGCGGGAGAAAACGGAACAGTGTTTAAGCACCTTTGTCATCACAGCGCTCACGTCTTTCTTCACAGCTTCAATCGAGGTTCATCAGACAAAGGAGAGAAACCCCTACATCGGCAAAGGAAATCGGGGCTCCAGGGCTGTGGCATGCACTGTTTATTCATTAATTCTTTTGAGAGTAACTAGAACACATGTGAAAAACCTAAAATTCCACTCAGGAGTTCAAAGGAACAGTTGATTTCTTTTTCTCCAGATTAAGGCTTAGTTTATATAAATTGCTTTATAAATGTGACTAAAGGTCATGGAATGTGAATACATATGCATATGTGAAGAACATGCATACACATATAAACTCATGTATGTACACGCCCACTTATGTATACATATGTACTTACATTTTTAAAGGGAGTACCAGCACAACATATTTTATCAAATGATATTTCACTCTAATAGACATTGTACCGATTTTCAACAATGACCTACAGTTTATAAGCAAAATGATGTACACTAATACTTTAATACTACAATATAGAGGATTAACGATAAGACCTCTTTATGTAACAAATCCACTGAAACCATCTCCCCCGTGACAATGTCTAGTGACAGCAGAGTTTACTGCTGGGTGAATCAACTTCGGATACCTTCTAAGGTGTTTCGTTGTGAAACAGCACAAGGACCTTGTCATCACTGCTCTCACCTTTGAGGGGGCACATGGCAACGGCCCTCGAGGACCAGCCCCCCTCACAGCCACTGCTCAGCCCCACCAGTCTTTTCTGTGCTGAGCTGCGGCCAGCAGCCCAAAGGCCTTCCTGCACCAGAGGCTTGCAGGTGTCAGGGAGCAAGTGGAGATTTCTATCATCCTTTTCTCAGCTAAGATAGCTGCGACTCTGCCTAACCCCACACCCACCAAATCTGAAACCTCAAGGAATCCACTGCAAGGAATGATGCACAACACATGTCACAATGTCTGAATCCCCAGACTTTCCACCCTAGTCACCTGGGTGGAGTGTTCTAAAAAAAGTCTGAACTTTCTGAATGAAGACAGCCTTGCTGGCCAGGGTGCTATCTGCTTGCTGAGATGGTCCAAGTTCAGGCCACCTGACATACTGTTCAATGTAATAAAAAATTGTAAATGTGCATATACGTACTCAATATATTCCCTTTTGTTTTCATTTGTAACCATTATTTCAGACCCATTGGGCTTCAGATCCACTTGATATGTCTGTAATTACAAAGACAAAATAATGGTCACCATTATGAAGTTATTCTGTGGATTATTACTGGGTAATAATGTCTCACTATAAGAGGAAGATAAGCAAAATTGATTCAGAAATATTTTCCAGGAAATAGGCATTGTGTACAAGAGGATGCTTAACAAGGTTTTTATGATGTTAAAACACAGTTAAAGATGTTACCATTAAAGGCAAACTATTTTATGGTTGTGAGTTTTCATTATTCTTCAGACATTAGCAACAATGGAGAAGGAATTAATTGTTTACAGAAAAGACAGGGTATGTCCACTGAAACTACAGACCCAAGTCCTAATGTATCTTATTTGTTTTGGAAAATTAAATTTTATAGTCATAAAAAAGATGTGTGGGATTATTTTTAAACAGGCAAAACTCAGGAACTTAAAGAAAGAAGCTTAAGACATGAGGCTGCAGAGAGGGATCTACCTGATCATAAAGAGCAAAGCAATTGAGGTTGAGCCATGGCCCTTTCCTGCGCGTGGGGCCAGCTAATACCAATGTGTACTGAGCAGTGGCCAGCAGGAGGGGAAGGAGGGCGAAGCCGACTGTTTTACAAACAATATGTGTCTTCTCATAGAAACTTTGGGGGAGCACATGGGTGTACAGTTTATTCTGTCTGGCATACAATGGCTGTGCAAACACACTGAAATTTGTTCATTTGAAACACTCCTAGTCGGTCCCAGAAACCAGCACTCCAGATTCTCATCAATCAGGATGAAAACAAATCAAAAAATAATGACAGCAGCTGCAGTTTCATTACAGGAAGCAATGGCTCCCACCACTTCATGGTCTGATTTTTTCTAATTGTAGAAAAACCCAAAACACCGAGGAGGACCAAGGACACGGACACTTCACACCGTGGTAGCTGCACTCCACTGAAGAAATGACCTGGTGTTGTGGCACGAGGGACACTTGGGCTTCCTCTTGGGTCAGAATAAACTGCACTGTCCAGTCACCAGCTCTGCTGAGGCTGAAAGCAGTGAGAGGCTTGCACAGGTGTCTCTCTGATGCCCACAGTGTGGGTTCAATGACTCTATTTTGAGTGCCTACCTAATACCAGGCGGTATGCCAAGTAGTATGGGCACAAAGGTAAGCGAAAAGCAGAACCCGTGCTGCCATCACCAAGGCTGAGCCTGGTGCGAGAGGCAGATGCTAAACGCATAGTCATACAAATACATGCCACATCACCCACGGTACACGCCCCAGGGAGACATGGGAGATATGTCCTGAAGCATATGGCCTGGGTCTGATCTGAAGATGGGAGGCAGTGTGTTCCCAACAGAAGGAACAGCATGAGCGAAGATCCCAAGGCTCTGAGAAGGAACCTGGGACCAGACCCAGAATGCATGCGGGACAGCTGTACCTTCCCCAGAGATGGGCAGGCGGGGCCACGCCATGCAGGACACCATGGGGCAAGTTAATCTCAAGGTCAGTGGGCAGCCTAACTGTTTCTGGCAGAGGAATGACATGACACTTCGACATTCTGAAAAGACCACTATGGGAGGCCAAAGTGATATAAAGAGATCAGTTAGGAGCTCTGAGACAAGACGGTACACCTTAGACTTGGGTGTTGGTGGTGAACAGTCAGGGAAAAAACACAGATCTGAGAAAGACATGGAAGCTAAAAATGAACAGGCTTGGTGATGGATTGGATATGGAAGATGCGATCAGTACGTGGGTGCTTAATTCACTCTACATTTCTTCCCAGAATGAAGAATAGATACATTTGTACCCTGTTAATCAGGTTAGCTCTCTAAAAAAGCAAGGCAGTAATTTAACAAGTAGGGTACCTGATCATTAGCTTACTCATCTTGTGTGTCTGTTCTGATTACTGCGTTACTCTACCTTGTTCAGCTCAAAAGTCAGAAGAATCTACAGTATTAAACCAAGAGATCTGAGAACTGTCTTTAATGAATAATTAACATGAACTATAATAATAATCAAAATCTTTATTAGAAGCTACTTAATAATCCAAATATCTTGTGTTTGGTTTTATTAGGTGGAAATAGTGACATTTCACTGTAACTAAAGTTTTTCCAGATCACCCGCTCATGCCTTTGGCATTGCTAATGTCTGCTGAACTGTGAGCAAACTTTAATAATCTCTGAAGCAGTAAGGAATCAATCTATTTCATTTCCCATATGGCAATCTTTAAAATCGGCTCCATGATCTCATTCATTTCAAGGCCCTGAGACCTGGTCTGGGAGATGAGCTCTCTCTCTGTGCTTCTGTGGAAGGATGGGTACCAGGGTTGGACATCCCTGAAAAGACCTCCCAAGATGCACTGTTATCAAAGGTTATCACAAATGAATCAGAGGTCCCAGGTTTAAGACAAACACATCCTACAGAACGTTCAGGTGGTGATGAAAATTCCTAGCAGGTGACTTTTTCTTTGACATTAACCTTTCTGATTAATCTAGCTTTAATGACAGTATGGGCACAAAGCAAGAAGGGATGGGAGAGAAACCTGAGCCTGCTGGGCCCCAGAAGACAAATGACAACAGAACCATTAAGGAGAGAAAAAAAGCCCAAGTTCCCCAAAACATCACCTACTCCCGATCATGTAATTATATCACTGAGAACACACTATTTTTCGAAGTACCTAAATTCTAAAACCAAGGCACAAACGTTTACGTTTTGCACTTTGCTTTAGATTAGAAGTAGGTACCCGTTCAGTCCCAGGGGCCTCAGAATTTCTGTCACTTTGCTGGAATTGGGGCTTTGCTTTCTGGCTTAACAATACAATGCTGATACAATGATGATGACTAACAGCTAATGCTCCTGGTGGTGGTTTTTAACTGTCCAGAAAAGTTGTGTTACAACCTGTGCAAAAGCAAGACTTTCTAAAAGTTGGAGAGGAGCTCCTGGGGCTCCCCGGACATACCTGCCCAAAGTTTTCTTCATCGATACAGAACATGAGGTCCAGTTCAGTGGGATCATTCTCTAGGATCCATTTCAAAGAGTTGTAGTATTCACTATCCTAGAGAAGTGACACAGACACTAAAATTAAGCTTCTTTTTCCCCCCCAAAATACAAACTTATTTGACTCTAAATAACTCAGTCCTTCTAATGTAATTCCTCACACATTGCTCAAGAATTATATTAGTCTCTAATATGTTTTCTGCTCTACTTCAAACCTACTTAAAATACAAACTAAAAATGTGTTTTAGTAGCAGCAGGGTTTGTAGTTGAATCCTGTCCTCGGTGAAGTGGAGAGGAAGCAATCTGCTCTGGATCGCGGTCATCAAATTATACAATTGAACATGGAAGATGCATATACTTCCTGTCTCTGAAGAGTGAAAATATCAAAGGACAATAGGAAGGATGAGAACATTCTAAGTAAATATCAATGGTTTAACCCTTTGAGTGCCAACCAATATCCTAGGAACTATGCTAAAATTGCCAAGGCATTTTTGTTCATTTTACAGCAGTTTAGGAAAAAAAATTATGAATCGCAAGTAAATGAAGTTATATATTCAAAAACTTAAGGAAACCTTTACTACATTGACATATTTAGCAATATCGCCATCACTAATAAAAGCAGACTTAGAACTGGACACCATTTGGAAGCTTTGATAGTGCTCCCGGCACTTTTGGCAAAAGACAGGAGGGGTGCGATTGCGCTCCCCGGCACTCTAGGGGTTAAGTCCCACCTCTTTCTGTGCTTGCACTGCTCTCTGCAAGTCAGTGTAAGTGGGACCCAGATCACAAGCCACAAGGGCCTGGCCTCCCCTCTCTCAGGGATTCCAGTGCTGGGATTGGAGCCAGGTTCAAACCTGCAACTCTGATCTGTGCCCTTGATTGGAAATCCAACCCTTGAAACTTAGGTGTGGGGGCCAATGCTCTAACCACTGAGCTGGGCCCAAATCGCTTTTCAGAAAACTTCTCAAAGCACTCATTTCCTAATTTGTTTATTACTCCCCTAGTCACTCCCCTACTCTCCTAGTCACTCACCCTCTCCACGTCTAGAACGACTGTATGTATTCTTCCCTTTATCTACTGCTTTGGCCTGTGCCCTTGCCATTTTCTGACTTCAGAAAACAGGAATAGCAGATGAGTCTCTAAACATTCAGTATTAGCAGTTTCCGATGGAAAATAAGAGCTGCCATGAGGTCTCCAGGTGACCCTGGGATTTAACCCCTTGAGTGCCGGGGAGCGCAATCACGCTCCTCCTGTCTTTTGCCAAAAGTGCCGGGAGCGCTATCAAAGCTTCCAAATGGTGTCCAGTTCTAAGTCTGCTTTTATTAGTGATGATGATATTGCTAAATATGTCAATGTAGTAAAGGTTTCCTTAAGTTTTTGAATATGTAACTTCATTTACTTGCGATTCATAATTTTTTTTCCTAAACTGCTGTAAAATGAGCAAAAATGCCTTGGCAATTTTAGCATAGTTCCTAGGATATTGGTTGGCACTCAAAGGGTTAAGCTGGTCACACCAGTCCCAGGTAAGCAGAGGTAACTGAGGTTTGCCTTATCCAACTCAAGAACCATGCTTCTAGTTAATGGGAACCATGATTTGCTTATTAGAAAAATTAGGGAGATCAATTAAACTCTTGAACAATTAAATGGTCCCTATTATTGACACTGAATGGAGAAACCCATAGAAAGCGCTGTGACAATATGTCACCGCTGCCTTCCACAGGACACAGGTGGCCCACGACCCCCAGTGGGAGGATCTGCCTTCACTCACCACAGATTCCATGTCATTCAGAGTTATCTGCTTTCCCAGCATCATTTTGTAAAACGGTCTAATGAAGAAACCTAAAACAGGATGAAAACTGGATTAGTTTCAAGTTGTTGATATTACTGTGCAACAGAAATGAAATACAAGCTGAACCTGCCTTCAATTTGAATGAGAGGCCAGGACAGGACAATCAAAGACCTTCTGTAGTATCTGTGACCCACTAGACCAGGGCTTGGTGGTTGTTGTGTTCTTTTTTTGTTTGTTTATTTGTTTGTTTTTTTGAGGGATGGTGGGTAGTAAGGAGGATAGTTATACTTGTAGAGGTCAGCAGAAAGGGGTCAAAAAGGCTCCTGGGGGTGACAAACAAGCCTCAAGGCCTGGCTAGAATTTTCAGTGTAAACAAGGCACATGAATAGGGGACAGAAGGCACTCTAAGTGAGGGACAAGATCGGGACTTGTGAGTGGTCTGTCAGGGAGGAAGCACAAGGTGTCCTGGGGAGGACAGGCTAGAGAAGGGACTGGGGAGTGGGCAGCTTGCGTGGGGTCTGGGACGTTTGGGCTGCTGCCTGAATGAGGGCCCCGGGCAGCCCCTGGAAGGCCAGGTGATTTCATCTGCATATCAGGACCAGTCCTGGGGCAGGCATGGGGAAAAAGCAGGAAGGGGACAAGAGGACATGAGGGAGACCACTTAGGAGGCTTTGCAATCTTCCAGGGCAGGGATGATGAAGGCCTGAGTGAGGCAATGGCAGTGAGGACACCATCACCCAGGTGTTCCGCAAGGCCCCCCAATCCACCTGTCCACAGGCAGGTCAGCATCACATGCCTCCTCATTGGGGTGTTGGAACCTCAGCCCCCACCCCATCTAATCAGTCACCAACCCTCTGCGGCGTATTCCTATTCACACTGGCTCAGGTGGCCCTAGGCTGCAGACTCAAACACCTTCGGTGTCTTGGGAGGCAGAGGATGAAGCCGATACAAGGGAGTGTGGGCTGGCTGTGGCATATGTGTGCTCTGCCTACAGGGGCATTCGCATTTTTAAGGGCATTCTGGTCCTCAATTCTGCAATTCCTGACATACCTGGCATCACCTTTGGCAGTAGTGTCCTAGATTCCCCCACTTGTTCCTGCTGCTTTCCATTACTCCCTCCATGAGCCTTGACTCAGCCAATCCTTGCTCTTCTGAAATGGTTCCAGCTTCTAATGTTCAACTCCCCCCCGCCCCCCCCAACCCCTCGAAAGCTGGGCCTAATCCTGTTGAAGTGCTCTGGGCCCTCCAGGCAAATCAGGGTTTCCTCATCTCCTCGTTAGATCCCCTATGGCCCTTCCGATTGGACTCTGTCACTGTGAGTCTTGTGATTTTTGTTTGCCCACTAGGTTTTAAGTTCACTGAGTCAGGATCATATCTGACACTTCTATTTCCCCACAGCCACTAAGGATGTGTTCTCACTTGGCAGAAGGTGTGCAGACTGACCTTCTAAGAAAAGGATGAAGTGAATTTGAACAGCTGAAATAATCTATGGCACGACGCCAGTGTAGCAAATTAAAATATATTCACACAGCGTACATATACAGAAAGAGTGCAGTTTCTTTCCCATGAAAAAAATTGCTTATTTCCCCCAAGTAAAAATAACGCATTGAAATCAGAGGATCAAAATCAGCCAGCAAGTCCCAGTAAAAATATACTAAAGGATGAAGTACAGAGGGTACATCAATTATTTACTGAATAGCTAAGGTTCCACAGACACAATTAACATTACTTCCCTGCACCTCTCTCTATAGTAGCTGTATTGCCAACCTCAAATCTTATTCTCTCTTCTATCCTCAACAATTTTATCCCCAAATCTTTCAAAAATATTTTTAATTCCCCTTCAATGATTTAAATAGTGTCCTTTCTCAAGGGCAATACTTTGGAAATGACCAAATCCAGAAGAACTCTCTATTACAAGCCTAATAGAGATGGCTAGGGGAAGGGTCTGACTTCTAACTTCCAAGGGACCCCGAGATTCTTCCATGGCTTACATGTTTTAAATAAGAACGAGATTACTTTGTGCCATTTGTGGGTCAAGGTCTTAGCTCTGCATAACATTACTGACAGTCTCTTACCATTCAAATAAAAATAATAAATATTTACAGTCTCTTCACATTCAAATAAAATAACAATTTGAAACAACAGCAGAATAACGATGAATCTGATCATTTATATTGTTTTCAATTAGCTTTTCCATCTGTCACCAAATCTAGCTCTCCCTAAAAATATGAGAAGTTGTTCTTAAAAGCAAAAAAACAATCACAGAATGTTCTGTGCTTCTCACTTGTTTTGTAAAAAATGTTTAAACTGTGTAGACACTATACTGTTGGTGCTCAAATTAAGATGACTCCAGTGAAAAACACCTCCATTACAGGCAAAACATAAAAATAATTGAATTACACAGAACCAGTGGAGCTTTTGCTTAACATCTATGATGGGAAAGATGAGTCACCTAATAAGGAACCATAAATAACACTGTCCTATTTTGATGACTTCAAAACTTTTTAATAACTTACCATCTAAAAGTTTCCCATGAAATACTGCCAGACCAGCCACTCTTCCAATAAAAGTGAAATAGGACAAATGGTCTTCATTACAGAGGCCTGAATTGGGGTTGATCTGAAGTGTGTAGTTGTCCCTTGGGGGAGGAAGAGAGAGAAAAAGCCCAATCGTATTTTTAAAGAAGAAACACAAAAATTTGCATCTTTCTTTGCTGCCTGTCATTAGCTTTTATGGTGCTAATGTTTTTTTTTGCAGATACTCTGTTCCTGATGGGGAAAGGCATGAGCTAGAGAATGGGACTTACCATTTAGTTAGCCTCTTTCTGTCACCAACGACTGAGGTCCCATGGAGCACATGCCCTTTGTAAGTTAAACCGTAAGAGAGTGTTGATATTTGACTATTTTTGATTTACAAAAATGTCAGTTGCATATGGTTCAGCCAAGAATCTTGGGAAGGTGCGAATCACCACATAATAAAGGGACTGTGCACGGACTGCAATGATGTGAGTACTTACTTCAGGTTTTCTGAGGAGAAAGGAGGATTTGTTCCTTTGAGAGGCATTTGGTTTGGAGATGAACATGTTTCCTCCGGGCCCAATGTTTGGGCTGATCACTGCTGGGCCCTGACAGCCCCAAGGGCATTGGTAACAGCATATGGCTGTCTTAACACCATAAACTACAAAAATGTTTACATGTCCGTCTCTGGTCTCAAAATCATGAGGATCACTAGTTTTCCAATTGGGCTCCATAGACAGATTCTTTTAGGGGATCTGAGAGGTGAGGATCCTGCCCCCTTCTCCCTTCTTGCCCTGACTGCCACTTCAATGGTTGTGATCAATTTTACATAGTGATCTTTCTCATGAGACAATAAACAAGCTGGGTGATTCTTGGCTAGAACAACTGGGCAGGATCCTGAGTCTGCCTTCCAACAGAGCCCCAGGAGAGAGTGGGAGATGTGGAAGAGTGGAAGAGTCCCTTAGACTCTAGCAAGGCTGCCTTTTGGCAAGGCCCACAACTCCTCTACAGGCACTTGGGTTCACAGCCTGCAGGAGGAGCGGTGGCCTGGTAAGCAGGCCATGTTGGAGTCCTGAGAAAGCAGCTGCGTCTGTTTTAGTTTCCATGCCGGGCAATGATGAAGTCCTAATGCCCAGGGAACCTGGTTCTTCTCTTACAGGACCAGGGCGCCGTCCTTTGGAGCCTGAAGAATAGGTCCTCCTCAAAGTCATCATAATTTGCCTTTAACTAGTGTTCCTTCAGAAACTATTTTTGTCCATGAGATGACAATGACTATCTGAATTCTGACATTGACAAATTCTCCTGAATTAACATAACATTACGAATGAAAATTGCCTCTTGTTCCTTACCATAAGTACTCAGCACACTTTTAATTTCAATTAAGTGAACCCAACAGACAAGAGAAAAATCGTTTTTTGGCGTTCAGAGTACATTATCTCATCAGGTAGAGTCAGAACCTGTTCTAGACTTATGGGGTGTGTGGGCTGGTGGTGAAGGGGAGTGGGGACTGAAAACAGCAGTGTTAATTCATTTCAAATGAGTGAGCCACTTACTCTTTCACAAGCTGAAACTATCAAGAATAAAACTGTTTCAGTGGGACACATTCTGAATTTGCTCCATCTACTTACGTTGCGGAGTATTCGAAGAGACCATAGTAGGGGTTGAACATCTCTTTGGACAGTAAGAAGAACCATTCTCTGGCCACACCCCCATAGTCGAGACCTTTCTCTGATTCAAATTCAATCCACAGTCTAGCTTTTAGGACATCTGGTCTTTTCACAGACATGATCCTCCGATAGGACTCTTCAAAAATGTTATTTCTGTGAAGTTTCATTTCAAACCTATTTGGAATATCAGCCTACACAAAAGAAAAAAAAAAGCACATAATCATACACTAAATATGCACTTTACTTCACAGGAGAGAAACGATGGCAGTCTTCAAATAAACCAGCAGGGAAGGATGGTTCCAACTGAGCGTCCCTCCCTTATGGAGGTTTCCTTGCACAGTCAGAAAGCCTGAGACACGCAGCGGCCACCAGCAGCCATCAGCCTGAGCCGGCAGCATGTGCTGCAGAAGAAAGTGTGCTGAGCAGTCATCCTCCCCGTTTATGAACAACTGTGGGGTGCTTATCCGCCCAGCAGCAACTGAAACATGGTTAACTGTATATACTGTTTCTGTCAAAGGAAGTGACTTCAGTCCAAGCAATCAAAACCCACAGCAGTCCCCACCTGGCCAGGATGGGAGCATGCTAAACTCCAGCTGGTAGGCACGGTCCACACGCTGATTCTGCTACCATGGGGAGTGGGACGCTGATGATTGTGCCAAATTGTGGGAAAGCATCTAACAGTCCATAGTTAATAAATATGAAAACAAAAAAGCACTTGACAGGTTGTAACTGCTTCTTGGAAAAATGAGGGATACGGCAGCTTTGCCATAAAACGGATTTGCAGAGTCAGTGAAAGTGCCACCCTGAGTGACACAGAGTCAAGTCCCTAAAGTCACCCCTTATGACTAGGGGAATGCAGGTGGCTCACTGAGAAACTGGGGATTTTATGTGTTTAAATTTGAGTCATTTCAAAAGCAGTCACCAAGAGCTAGTTGCATGAGGATGTTGGAAGGGAGGACAGAACTCCTAAGCGGGAGCTCCCGAGGCAGAGGCTGTCTCTCTTGCATCTCTATCCCCAGTGCCGCACCCAGAGCAGATGCCTCAAAAGTGAGGCTCCGACCGAGGATTGGAGCAGGAGAGACAGTAATGGAGCACAGGCAAACTGGGGAGACCTGAGTGAGGGTCTTTTCCCAGTGGGAAGAAGCCGAGAAATGGTGACACCAAACAACACAAAACATCCTAGACCCCAAACAGTGAATGCACAAACGGAGAAGAAAACTGGTAAAACCTGTATCACAGAAGTGAAATAAAGTAAAACGGAAAACCTATATTGAAATATTTGGGATGATGTGTCAGTAGAAAATACTGTGATTTAAATCACCGCCTGTAAAAACCTTACTGGGTTTCTCAGTTTTGTAGAAATTGTATAGGGTTTCCCATTGAGAATTTTCATTTGAAAATTACACTTGGTCTTAATATACCAAATATAATCAAATATTATAAATTGTACTGTAGTAAGTATAATTAAAATTATACTTCTGAATTTAAAGGGACAGGCTTGAACATTTTTCTAACTAGGATCTAGGTTTTATTAAATAGGATAACCATAACAACTGCATAGACTTCTCCAAATTTTTTGACTAGATCCTAAATTATTCTATTTCCCATAAAATCATTTCTATCTTTTTACATATTACATAAGAAATTACCCTTCAGGTGATTTGATATGTAATACCAGCCAATCTTCACTTACCATTTCTGTTAAAAAGAAAATTCAGGTGGAAGATCCAGGCGGATCAAAGTGCAGTAAAAAAGGAAGTTTATATTCTTAGTACACACAGAAAAATAACAAACAAGTCGCTTGCACTGAAGTAACTCTGGTAACTTACAAAGGACTGAAATAGCATTTTTGGAAGACATGTTACTCACAGGTTTCTTTAATTTCTTCCTAAAGTAGTCATATTTCTGCTTAAATTCTCTGGAGTAAGGAACCGCCTAGAAGATAAATTTATAAATGTAAATGAGGGGAAATAACACTTGCAACTTTATGTAAACTGAGCCAACATTCAGAGAACTTCATTAATCATACACCTTAAAATTCTCATTCTCCATATTATCATTGAAATTAATATGTCTATGTACATAGCACATGGGAAAGTTCTAGAAATGATTAAGGCAAATCAGCATTGAGTAGGGCGGCTTTCACCCCTGAAAACAACTATGTTGATATTCAATAAGTCATTTAGGGATATGCTACATAAAATACACTTTCCAATGTGACTTTTGTCTGGATATGAGTCAGGTATAATCTTTATTTTTCTCCTGTCATTGAGATAAGAGTTGGCTATGACATTTTAACATACAACCCCAATGACCAATGACTAATCCTGCTTTTAAAAATCTTTGGGAGGAAATATAATGAGCAGAAAAGCAACTAGACTGGCATTCTGATCAAGGACTGTAAGACCAGGTAGAGAGCACTCAGGAAAAGTCTCCCATTTGGGGGTCAGAAGGTTTGCCTCTAACTATCTAGTAAGTAGTCTTGGGTGAGGGTTTCTCTACATCTTAATGCCTTATCTGTGAAGCAGAGTTATGGTATCACAGGAGTGGGCTCGGTAACTGAGCTATCATTACTCAAAAATTCTGGAATCTCTTTAGGCAAATAACATTTTAATATAGTCATTTAAATAGTCTCTATTTGCTATGTTATAAAGTAGCTTACAATAGCCAGAGTCCTGACTTCAGGCTATTGAAAAGGCTTACTTTTTTTTTTTTTTTTTTTTTTAATGAAGCAGAGAGGACTGGCTTTTGCATATACATGGACATAACTATGGCAGCCTCAAACTCAGAATGACTCATTGCTTTTTTGGCAAATAGTGTGCATTCGGGCAAGCATATTTCTGTGGATATAATTTGGGGCTAAGTTAATAAAATATACTGATCCTTAGAAAAGTGTCTCCAGACTCCAAACCTTCTACCTTCACCTTCTTATTCTTGTCCAGAAAGAGGAGAAATGAAAAACATAAGCCTCCCTCCTTTCTACTGTTTTTAAGACGATCACACAAATAACTCAGCCAAAACAAAAACATATAACCAGTCATAGCAAACACTGATCATGCCAGTGTTTTGCTTTGTAATTCAAGAGCAACAGACATCATATTGATATATCTTAAGACAATTTATACTACGAATGGTTTTAGTTTTCAACCCACTCTTTATTTGCTTTTCCACTGAACACTGGATTTGACCACATATCATATTTATTCTGGACAGTGTTTAGTCTGATGAAACCGTGTGTGAATTTTTATTCTAGGAAAGGTAGAGACTTTGTCACTATCTGGACAACTAACTACTGGTATAAGAAAAAGGAGACAATATTGTGAAATAAGCCAATAAAGACATTATGATGTTGTTTGCTCTACCAATACTATATCGCATAACAAAAGCTTTTCTATCCAGTTTATTTATTCATTCTTTGGTGGTTCATTTGCTAATTCATTCAACAGGTATTTCTTGAGTACTTAGTCTGTGCCAGGCATTTTAGGTGCTAGAAATAATGGTACATCAACCAAAGAATTCTTGCCCTATTCTCTCCTGGAGATTACAAGCAATTGGGAGCAATAGGTAATAAGAAATAAGTGAGTAAGTAGTGATAAACACTATAAGAAAAAAATGATAGAGTTCCTGGGAGGCTATTTTATATGAGGTGGTTAGGAAAGGCAGTTCTGAGAAAGGGATACCTGAGCAGAAACAAGTGACCAGAGGGAACAAATTTTGACAGGGACAGTGGGTGCAAAGCCTTGAGAAGGCAAAGTGTTTGGCTGATGTTCTATGATTAACTGTAATAGAGGGGAAATAACCTAAAAATGGATTTCCTGTCATTATCCCTTGCCAGCTTTAGAAAACCTGACTTCTAGGACAGACTCCTGCCAGCTAGCTCCATGACAACCTCTCTTTGATGGCACTACTTCCCAGTTACGCAGAAGGATTTGAAGAGATGAACTTCAAGGTCCTTCCATTTCTACAAATCTACGATTCCCAGCAATTATTCTTTGTTTTGGTTCCCCCCTTGAAAATGTTAAAAAAAAAAAGGCTTAAACATTCATCCTTATAAAGTTCAATAGTCTTAAAGGACAAATTTCCCATGAAATTTACTGCAAACTGCCCCCAGCCCGTGATATCTGACTTATCATTCCCTTGTCTGACTTATAACGTGGTAGGTGCTGACTACATGTGGGTGGAAGTGAGATACTGGGATATTTCTGGCCTTTCTTCTTAAGTGGAATGATGCATGAAGGTTGAAAAATCATTATCCTCCTCCATCTAGAGGTAGTTCTGATAATGGAATAAGGAGAGGAGGTTTTTAACTCCTCCTCCTGAAAAGACCCAAATAATGTCACAGGACAAAGATGTCCCTATGTGCAGCCTCTGAACACAATTATGTATGTCATGTATTTCTTGTTTTGGCCAAATTATTTATTCTCTTTTGAAAATATGACACCTTATTTTTTTACATATACAGTGGGGCCTTGACATATGACTGTCCCGACTAACGAGTTTTTTGAGATACCAGCTGTCCCTCGGCGGATTTTTTGCATTGAGTTGATAGAGTAATTTGAGTTAATGAGCTCCTTAACGAGCTTGGTCTCGGAACGAATTAAACTCGTAATTCAAGGCCCCACTGTAATTTAATTTGTAAGATAAGCCTATTTAAAAATAATCACAGCCCCTTTTGTTCAGCATCACATATTCTTTCTCTCTTGAGCAAAATGAGAACCTGACTTAGTGTGTAAGACAGTTCTACATGTTTTCATGTCATTACTGTCCAGTTGGTTCTGGAGTCTTCTGTAGAGAAAGGCTCATGTCTGGCCTGGGGACAATGGTGAGGTTAGCACAACTGGGGCTCTAGTCCCAAGTCTGACATTTGCTGTAAGTTTTGGCAACACAATTCGCTTTCTGATCTTTTGACAAACTGGGAATAACAACATCTTCCCTATCATTCCGAGAGGATGGTTGAGAGTGTCAAAGCAGCTGATTATAAAGTTCTCAGAAAAGTACAAAGTGTCACACAAGCACAAGATAGTACTCATAAGAGCAGCAAGCATGGGGAGCACTTTACAAATGCTTTCAATGGTGATGTTTGCTATACAGACAGCGTATTGACGTACAATAATGTGTGCTGGGCGGACACAGAAAGGGTCCCCTCCCCCATAATATATATTTTTAAAATTTGGGAAAAAGAGAAACTCTAGGTACCAGATAAACAGAAAGACTCAAAATAGAGAACTAAGTGGGCACTGGACCTAGACACAGGTGCTGGGGCTTGGGTTTTAACCCTCATGGGGGCACAGAACTTGGCCAACAGTCTGCATGGCTAGGCAGTCAGAACAGAGTTCCCTGCTAAAAACTTACACCTGAAAAGGGGACAAGAAAACTCTACCCACTGGCCCAGGAAAGTTGCAAGGAAGCTTACCTTCTGTCCAGGACCATAAATGGAAGAAAAAGAAAAAGAAACAGACCTGTAATAAATTCATACTCCAAGGCTACACCAAAGTGGGTATGAAATCCATAGTTATGGTAATTGGGGGTGAATGAACCCAAGGTAAGTAGTTAACAGAAAATACAGGTCAGAACTTATAAAAGCCCCATGTGGAAAAAAAAAAATGAAGATGAGCATACACACAAATTCTAAATGGAAGTAGGTAATAAACTACCATTGAGGAGAGTCTACAGATATAACATCTGGGCATAGTTTATATTCCTGGGACCAGAGTTAGTAGGATAATTTGAAAAAGGCTATAAAGAGGCTATTTTAAGAATGCTTAAAGAGTTGGAAGTATCAATAAAAATAAAAAAATAAAGAACAGGACAGAAAAATAGCTAAAAAGACTAAGCAAATTTAAAAAGAGCAAATAGAACTTTGAGCAATTAAACAGTCACTGAAATAAGAGAGAAAATGAACTGATAAAGAGATTATATAAAGAGCTTAAGAAAGACTTAACTGGAAGAGCTGAGCCCATTATATACAGCAATAAAGAGAGGCAGACATGTGAAAGCTAAGAGATGATAGTTGTGAAAGTGAATCAATTACCCAAAGTTACTAATACAGATAGTTTGAAAGAATGTGAAAGATGCAACAAGTAAAGACATAACCACTGAGAATTTTCCAGAATGAAGAAAAGACATGGTCCCCATACTGAAGAATTACAATGAGTTCAAGGCAGAATAAATTTTTAAAAGCCCACACTTACAATACAGTAAACTTGCAGAACATCAAAGACACAGATAAAAATTCAAAATCATCAAAGAGAGTTACCTATACAAAAAGATAATTGATTGGCAACTTCTCATAATTAGTTAAAAAGATCAGAAGATATTAAAAAATATCTCCGAAGATCTGAAGAAAAGTAACTGTTAACCAAGAATTTTATAAGGAATGAGCTAAACTATCATTTCACAGAGAGGTCAAGTAAGTCTTCTCAGACTAAGCGAGTTGACCACTCAGGCTCCCACTGAATTTGCTGTTAGAGCAGAGGTTCTCAAACTTGGGTGAACATCAAAATCCCTGGGAGGGTTTGTTAAAAGACAGATTGCTGGACCTACTCCCAAAGTTGCTAGTTTTCAGTAGGTCTGGGATGGGGCCCCAAATCTGCATCTCTAACAAGTTTCTGGATGATAGTGATCTGTAGACCACACTTTGAGAATTATGAGCTAGAGGTTATATGTCATTAAGAACAAAACTTAACCTAGAAAAAAGGGGATGTAAAGATTAGTGGTGGGCAAAGAAATCTGTTTACATCTAAGTAAAATTAAGTAAGTATTGACTGCTAAAAAAAAAGAAAATATAAAATACTAATGAGAATTTGGAAAGTTTAAAGACAAGATAGTTGTTTTTTAAATCCTGGATTTTTAGAGGGAGTAAGGGAAGGAGGCAGGGGGAGAGGGAGAGAAGAGCGAGGGGAGAGAGAGGAGCCAGGGAGAGGGAGAGGAGAGGGGCAGAGGTGGAGGGAGAGGGAGAAGGAGAGAAACATCGATTGGTTGCCTACCGTAGGCGCCCTGACTGGAGATTGAACTGGCAATCTTTTGGTGTACAGGATGACATTCCAACCAACTGAGCCATCCAGCCAGGACTAAACACAAGGTAGTTTTAAAACTCCACTGAACAATGAGAAATAGGAGTGGGAAGAATGGCACTAACGTTCCCTCAAGTCCTATATTATCCAGGAGGAGAGTAGAGACTGATTAATTTCAACACGAAGTCAATTATGTCAGATAAAAATTTTAATGTGAGCACTAAGAGCACTGAAATAGAAAATACAACTTCTGAGCAAGTATTAAAAAATGAAAGAAAATAAAGTGTACTCTATCAATCTAATAGAAGGTAAGAAGAGAAAAAACACAGCAAGAGACAGAAAATATGTCCTAGACAAATACTAAAGAGAGAAAATGAATGTAATGATTGATGAAGCCAGTCACCGTGGGAGTTTGACACAGCTATCTTGGTTAGATAAAACAGCCAGGAAAACAGTAGAAATCGAAATGGATAATTTGAACACGACAGGCTTGATCTAATGGTATACATATAAAGAACTGTTCTATACCCAAGAAAGACAGAACACACATTCTTTTCAAACTCAAAGGAACATTTACAAAAACTGGCCAAGCCTCCAAAGACGTTTTGCATATCTGATAATCAATATTCCATAGTCAATATTCTCTGACCATATGCAATACAATTAGAAAGCAGTAAGAAACAGGCAAAAATTCTCCCATAGTCTTAAAACTAAAAAGCACATTCTAAATAACTTAAAAGCCAAGGAGAAAAATCATATGGAAATGACCAAATATTTAGAATTAAATGATGACGAAAGCCAAATGTCTACACTAAGTTGATAATTACCTAAATAAACATACTCTTCTTATTGAAAGAAATGACACTAATAATGATAAGAGTAAACCAACCTCTTTAAGTCAAGATCACTTTTGGGGCCAAATCTATCTGGATTTATGCTAGATAATTTTCAACAGTAGACTACGTGCTTGACTGAATGTAGATGATCAATAAACCATAAAAAAGATTTGAAAAAGACTGAGAAATATCATGTCAAAAGTCCTCTGCTAATTGAAAACAGCTCTGTTTACTGAATTTACCTGTTGCTCATGATGGAGAAGAGAAAATGCTATTCTAACAACTTATTGTGATTACGAATAAATAAAAATGAAAGCCATGGTAGAATGGCAGGCATTTATTAAGCTCCATGGAAAAAAAGTAATTGACTGTTTTAACCCAGGCATTACTAGGCATGTTGTAAAATGCAGAAAGCAGCAGAGTAAACAAAATGAATAGATCCAACAGGTAATTAAAAGATGACAGGGATCAAGTGCACTTGCATTCTAATATCATTTAAATTTTCAAATGGACTTACCTTTATAATCAAAACATAATTTGAACTGAATCAGATCAAAGCCATGACATTAGTATTTTAAAAATACCCATTGGCCTCTTAGCTCAGTGCTCAAAATACAATAAATGTAATTTCCTCCAGTTTTTAAAAGAACCCCACATTTGCCATCTTCTGTGATTCCAGTATCTTTCCTGAAATTCCAAATCATCTCCTTGCACTCTTGTAACCACCGACCCGAGGTGCTAGTACATTCCCCGCCGATGAGATGAGCGTGGCCCCCACTCTACAAACTCCACCCAGGAGCTGGATACCAAGTGTCCATTACTGCCGAGTGACCAGGGGTTCTCACTCTTCCTTACGAACAGTGTGTGGCAGCATTTCAAGGGGGCAGCACCATACCTAAGGCAGAACTCGTTCTTTTCCCACCTGGTACACACGAAGGGGCTATGAGAAAGTTAGTGGGTCAGCGGAGATAAAGATTCTTATCTTATCTGCCAGCTCCAGAGGTTAGCGACAACCTCCCCCAAACCTTTACAGAGTTTCAGCGCTGGAAGAGATTCAGAATACAGCTTAGATTTGGTTAGCATGCATGAACTGCCCTTGGCCTAGAGAAATGACAAAACTCTGCAAACATAGGGCTGGCTTTGCCTCATAGAGAAAGGAAGAGAGGACAATTTGATTGTTTCACTTATATTTTATTATTTTTAAAATACTTATTATTTATTTATTTGTAATCCTCACCTGAGGATATGTTTTACTGATTTTTAGAGAGAGGGGAAGGGAGAGAGAGAGAAATAGAAACAGAGAGACAGACAGAGAGAGACATGGATGAGAGAAACAGCAAGTAGGTGTCTTTCCGTACACGCCCCACCGGGGATCGAACCCACAACCTTTCAGTGTACAGGATGATGCTCCAACCAACTGAGCCACACCGGCCAGGGTTGATTGTTACACTTATAATCCATCCTTTTATAATGGAGAAAAGAAAATGTTTAGTTTAGCTACCACGATCACATCATTTTCTTTTCCTTTATAATGAAAGCCACATGAAAAGGCAAATGTAGTTGTACCTCACCAGGAAATTCCCATCAGGAGGAGATGGGAGTAATGTTACATTACTCAATTACACCAAGGTGAGCAGAAATATACAAGAAATGTGTGTTTTGATACAACCAAAATATTACACTGAAGATTCAGAACTTGAGAATACTGACCGGGCCAGTAATAGCTGGATTCTGCAGTCTTGGGTCTTCCCACTGAGTTATTTTGCTATCTGAAAATTAATATTAAAAAAATCAGCATATTAGTTGAAATCTATTCTATGTAAAAAATGTTTTAGAAATAATTATTCCTGGTTTTTCAAAAGCTGTCTAGTCCCCCAACCTGGCCCCCGAAGATAATATCTTAGTATTTCAGGGTTAGAAGAGAACGATACTCTGTATGGCAGACCTCCTATGTAATGTTTAGTTAAAAACACTCAATCAAAAATGCACAGCTAAAGTAAAACCATCTATTTACACTGTTTTTGGCAAGCAATCTGCTGAAAGTTCAATTATAAACCCCTGTTCTTTCAAGGATTTATAACTTGATCTTGATATTCATTTAATTGAAAAAAGGCACAAAAAGTCTTAGTCCGCCAAAAGTTAACACACACACATTACTTTTTCTCATTTCAAATACTTTTGCTTATGCTTATGGTCTTGAAAAACTGCTTTCAATTAAGAGTCCTATACTGAACAAATGAATAATCCATTGCATGTGTCACTCATATGCACACAACAATGGAAGCAGCCAATAAGTAAGGCAGTCCAAAAAAGGAGAATTACATACTGCAGAGGAAGATTCTAGAGAAAGGCTTCCCTTTTGGCCATGTTGGCGAGAAGCGGTTTTCTTTCTTCCAAAAGAGTCAATGTTAACAAAATTGTTCAAAGCCACCTACACCACTACTTCAGTGGTGCAGGTGATAATGAACAAGAGCTGCCCTGCATCACTTGGGATTTGTGACTCTGCATAATCAAAAAGACTTTATGGATTACTGTGTGTGTGTGTGTGTGTGTGTGTGTGTGTGTGTGTGTGTGTATGTGTGTGTGTTGGGGAGGCGGGCAGAGATGAACGCACATGAAAGATAATGTGGTGGAGGATAGACTGGGGAAGAATGAGTTCTTTCTGGAGTTTTAGGAAATCTAAGTTGATTTAAAAAAATGGGAAATTATTTGAGAAAAATACTGATTCTAATTATTTCCTGTAAACTCAAGAATAACTAATACATTTGGTTTAAATGACCATACCAGGGATTTTTCAGAGTCTGGTATTACAATTATTTCAATAGAAGCAGAGTAAAGTCTTAAAATAAAGTTACCAAAGCACATGATGATTCTAGATTTGTGTATGCTGGAAGACAATTTACATGAAGTGCTTCAACTGTTCTAGAGAACCTTGATGGGTCCCTTACCTTGAAAATGGAAGATTTGGAAAGTAAAAGTTGCTACTGTGATGGAGAACAATAGAAAAGAAAACCAAATAATGGAAACATAAAGAGCTGAGCAATAACTGCCTTGGACTATCACTGTAAGGACTGGGTATTGTCATTAAAGCAGAAAATAAGTTAATAACTACCTGTACACAACTCCCAAATCTTCAGTCCAAACCTCAATTTCAAGCGCCACCCTTGACATCTGCATCTAGATTCCCCATAGGTACCTTCAACCCAACTCTTTAAAAATTGAACCTATAATCTTCCAACACCAAAACCGTTTATGGAATCCTGTATTCTCGATTAACAATATCACAATCCATTGTGACAGAATCTTGACACATTGCAGAGAATCTTGACACATCCCTTTTCTTCCCTCGCCATTTACCTCTGATGGTGACCAAACTGTCCCTACTTCTTTCTGGGTGCTCATCTTTTCCCTGGATCATTCTCTAGGTTTCCCTGGTCTCAGTCTTATCCCTGTTCGAAACTCTCTATATAGCTCTGCCAAAAGGATCTTTCTAAAGAACAAATCTGACCACTGTCACCTCCTCTGGAAAACCCCTCAGGAGCTCCCTCTTGCCTATAGAAGGGACCGAGTTCCCACACGTGGCAGACTGCCTTTAACTTGATGGGTGTGCCACCCCCGCTTTCTCTGCACACTGGCCACGGGCAACCTTGCCGCACTTCTCTGCATAGCCTCGTACACCTGCACGCCTTCTCCCTGCGGGAACCACTTTTCACTGCGTGTGCGTGACTAGTCTTATTCATCATTTGGAATATGTCTGAAGAGTGATCCATTCCATAAGGCCTTCCTGCAGTCTCCCCCATCCCTGGTGCCCTGTGCCACTTGGCAAGCAGGTACACTCTTTGCTTTCACATTAACAAGGGGTTCTTTCCTCTAATACAGCATTTAATACTCCCTGGTACTCCCTGCTAGAATCTAAGTCCCTCGATGACGGGGTGTATGTTATTCCCCTCTGCAGCTTCCTCTCCACCACTTACCACATTTCCTAGCCTAATATGTAACAGGAGTCCAATATGTTATTATTTTTAATGACCAAATGGAGCTGATGGTGATAACAAAGTTCCTTTACGGTTGGCTAAGCTCTCAGTAATATACAAGTTTCTGCGTGGTTACCATAAAGATCAATTTTGCAAGTATTGTCAATTTTTGAATATATGGTGGCCAGTTATCCATTTTTTCCCTCTGGAATTTTAAAAATTTAAACTTGCTTTGTCTTCAAGACATTTTTTCAAATAAAGGGAGAAGAATGAAGTAGAAGAATGAGAAACTCAGTCAATTTAGCTACTGTTTACTGGTTTGGTAAAGGCTATGAGCAGAATAGACTCAAATAGGATTTTACAGCATCGCTAGAATTTAATTTTCTCTTCTAGTTTAGTATATAAGATATCTGTGGTCAATTCCTCAGCTGCTGGGCATGTCCGGTCTTTAAGAAGAATCACACAATTCCTAAGAGAGGCAGAGATTCAGTTCAAGATCTTCCCTTAACCTTTTGCACCAGGCTTGAGACATAGGAGCCATTTGATAAATGTCAACCAAATAAATCAAGGCGTCTAAAGAGAAGATTAGTACTGAGCATTATCTCTTCTGAGATTAAATCTTTAAGGTTGTTGAAATTATAAATCTTAAAAATGTCTAATGTCTTAAGAATTTATGAAGCAGAAAATAAATAGAGTAATTATTTAAAAGAGAAGGGCATTGTTGTCCCTGTCATTCAGAGTGCAGCCACCTGTCCCAGTGATGCTGGCAGACAGGGTGGCTGAGTAACTCGCAAGGTGATCACTTTCACAGTAAATGGCACATATAAGGATGACCTGGTTTCTATCCCAAGACAGCAAAATGAGATGCTGAATTTTGGCAGAAATCAGATGTGGGAAAACTATTTAGAAAAAGAGGTTCATTTGGAAGGTAAGGAAATTCCTCAATGTCACCACCAGGTAACTAGACCCATTTTGGAGTGTACCTATTAGGCTGATAAAGCCTCTTAAAAAGATAAGAATTCTGCATTTTTTATAAACTGGATTTTGGGGAAAAGGCAGATGAATTAAACTCTGTTTCACAAAAGCCTAAAAGATGGTGATAAGCCCCGCCCTCATGGCCAGAGTCCCCAGCAATTGGCTTATCTAATCAGTGTGATGAGTTAAGACAATGTGAGGCTGGGGAAACCTGGTTCAGACTTACTGTTTATGAATCAAATTACAACAAGGAGCAAAATACTACCACACTGCATGTGTGATTTGAACTTTAAATCTATTTAAAGACTTCTTTTTCCTATACATTTTCAGACGTTGTAAGGGATGTGCAAATATGGAGAACGTGTTACTTCAAGAAAGAAAAAAACTGGCTAAAAGCAAACCTTTATTAGTTTTAGTTGAAATGAGAAATCACACAGTTTTCATAGGTGCTGGAGCAAATGTCTACAGCAAATATATCACAATTTCAAGAAAAGAACTGCATATATATTAGTGTGTTGGGTGCAAGGAAACATGCTATGAATAGAAAATAAGTCAGAATGGGCAGCTGGCCCTGAGACCGTGAAGGTGGTGTTTAAAACACACGTGTGCTGCATCAAGCACCGCACACACCCAGATTTTGGACTCAATCATCACTTCTAATCTTATTTTCTATTACCAGAGTGTATTTATTGAAAGCGCAAAAGTCAAGGGGTCATCAACCAAAAAATAGTTCTTAAATAAAAAAAAAGTTAATAGGTCACAAGATCAAATTGGGTGAAAGCTTGCTGGGCTACTTTATAGCAAACGTGGGGGGAATGCACAGTACCGTACGAGGGCACTGATTCTCTGGTACCATTCTCTCCACATAACACCTGGCTGCCTAGACAAAGAGTAAAATGACAAAGCTTTCACTTTAATATTTGAAATACCCTTCCCCTCCCTTTACCTGCAATCCCTGTGTCCATAACAGTGCCTACTTACTATGATCGATATAAAATGTTCGGCCATCCAAGTGGATTCTTTCTTCCCACCCGGGCTAGTATAGAGAGAGAGAGAGAGAGAGAGAGAGAGAGAGAGAGAGAGAGAGAGAGAGAGAGAGAGGACAAAAATTAGCTAGCTGTTCCAAAATCAAAGGCAAAATTATGACACCTTACTCTTCCCTCCTAGGGTACAGTTTTACATTAAGAATAAACCACAAACATTTCAAGTTAACCCTCAACAACATCTAGGAACACACTTGAAGCACACGTCCACAGTCTTGGATGCGTTCACCACTTGAGCAGGAAACAGGGATCGCTATTTCAAAAGCTTCAAATGGGAACTTTGGCATCCCATGGAACAGTTGAGTTTGGGGATGAACAGCTCATTTAATTAAACAAATATGTACTAAGTACTAAAAGCAGGAGGAGGAGGGATAATACAAAAATGTTGGAGACAGATGCTTTACTCATGTCATCACTGGTTGAAGAATCGAATACTTGCACTTCACTGTTGTGAACTCTCACTGTTCAAACTCGGGAACCAAAAAGACTTGGATAATCTTTTCAAGGGAGGGCTGGTATGCTCTCATTGACTGAACTGCACCTACTTGCTACTTGAAACTCAGGAACCTAACAGGTCCAGACCACAGGCAATGATTTCCTTTTGAAACTCACTCTCTAGACACAGTTTGGGCTCTCTCATCTAAACCCAGAACCAGTCAGATTTGCAGAGGGATATTTGTATAACCTAATGAATAAAGATGGAATCACAACCTCCCTAGCTTCAAATTTTGCCATAATATACCACACACCAGGCAACAGAAAAGGTTATTATGTTTGGAAAAAAGCAATAAAAAAATTCCCAGTGCTCTTCATTTAAAAATAGTATTAGAATCTTCCCTCCCCTTCCTGCCCCTGTAAGGTTATTTATTTTTAATTGGGGGTGGGTCGAGGAGGATGCATGGCGAAATTTTCATTCAAAATCTAGGTTTGTAGTAAATTGCTCAATCCCATTCAGGCTCCCAAAAAGAACTGATAAAAAATTAGCTTTATAAACAGCCATCAACCAGGGAAGAAAGCTTAAAATATCTGCAGACTAAATGACTTACAAAACTTTCTGTGATTACCTATGTCTTTCTCTCCCACCATTTTTAATATTTTTGTTCCTATTCATTAAATCAGATTATGGGTTGAACTTATGGTTGCTATGTTACAAAATAAATGTGTGCTGTTTAAATTGCCATCAGTAAAGAATGCCTCCTACATCCTAGTTACAAGGTCTACCTTCCACTGACAGTTACCAATTCAGAAACCTCTTTCATATGTACTAGCTGGTTGTATGTATGATTAGAATTCAGCCATACACCTGATTCTATTAAGAAATTATAGACCAATGGGCCAAAAGTCTGGAGAAAGAGGTCACAGGGCCTCTCCATCAACACTGGGCAGATAAATGAATAAACATATTCAGACTTGTCCATGTGTCTCCAGTACGTATACTCACAGGCAGAGGGCCAAGGTCATTGGGGTTTAAAGGTGCCTTCGATCGCAAATGTACTGGAAATTTCAGGCGTGGATCTTCCTGCAAAAAAAATGTAAAAGGCAGAACGTGTTAAGAGTGACGTCTGTGTGCTGTTACTGGCTCCTCCCCTTCTGGAGCTGTATGTTCCAAGGCAACCAGGAGGCATGTGCATGAGCCACACTCCTGCCTCACGGCGGAAGGAGGGTCCCATCTTTGAACAGGAAGCCTGGCTGACCATCTCTCAGAAGAGACTCCATTCTTCCTCCTTGTCCTTGGTGAAAGAAGGAGAGTTAGGACATTTAAATAAAAGGTTAACATTTTCCCAAGATCTTGAGCAGGTGAAGAGAAGAAGGACCCAGCAGTGATGTTGCTATGGAAACCAGAATAAAGGGTGCCAGCGAAGAGGAGGCTCTCCTCCACAGAAGAGGGAGCGAAAGCCTGGTCTGTAAATCTCCCTATGGATCCAGGGCTGCGGGTGCGGGTGGCGAGCCTCACACACTGGAACAGCCTCTCCATGAGCACTGGAGTCCCCTGCTTCCCTCTCCCGCCCCTCCCTGAACCAGAGCAGGGAATCGGAAGCGGGTCTGCCTGGCAGGTCAGGAGCGATCCCAGAGAGCGCTGGCTGGCTTCGTCATACAGTCACATCCCTATTAGACAACTGGACTGAGGCTCTCCAGTTCTACAGATTAGGTTCTCATGTATGTCTTAATATTTACAAGTTTGCAAAATATTTTTCTTAAGGAATGTGCTTAAGATACCACCGAAAATCAACAAAAGAGAAATACATAGTTGGCCATTTTGGTTCATGATTTATAATTGACAAAGTAATCAGACATACGATCTTGCAACCACGTTCTTAGGAGGTGGGGTACATGATCTCTGTTTCTTTAGATGGGGAAACTGAGTTTCAGAAAGAACGAGACCTTGTCCAGAGGTTCTGACCCTGAATCTGGGAGCTGCCTCTTATATAGGCTCTGTGAAAATGCAAGGCATTTTCATATTTTAAACTCAAAAGGTTAGAAAACAAATGATAAAACTCAGAATAATAAAATGTTAATAAGATAAGCCTAAGATTTTAAAAAATCCTGTAATAAAACTTATTTTGTGACTATTAGTGGGAATGGGGTATCCTTTGGGAGTGACAAAAAATGTTCTAAAATTGATTATGGTGATGGCTGCACATCTTTGTCCAATGTTTGTCCAAAACCCATTCAATTGTACAATTTAAATGGGTGAATTGCTTGGTATGTGAATCATATCTCAATAAAGCCATTAAGTTTTTTCCCGGTCAACAGTCTTAAAGCACTAGAATTACTGGATTATAACAAAGTGACAGAATTTTGGAATTGGCAAGAATAAAAAAATAAAACCAAGCTTTGCTTTCTGTTAGCTATAGCAAACTTTTAATTGAAAAAAATAATCATGTTAGTGGTTTATGATGGATATTGACCCTGAACCTCACTAATATGCTTTTAAAAAGGATGAGTAAAAACATAAAATAGGCCCAGTATTCTGTAGATTACTGGAACACATACAGTGCGTAGATACATTACACAGATTTGGGATTTATAAAGTCTGAACAGCTGATAATCTGGGAAACATTTGTGATAGGTTCATTGTGACCAAGGAGAAACTTACAGAGCACAGAACGCCACAAAAGCTACCCACTCACGGCTAACTGTGAGCTGGCCCAGCTAATGGCACAACCACGGGGACCCTTGGGAACACATCCCTGACCACACAGGTTTAGAGAAAGCCCAAGGCCACTATGATATGAAAAAGGACAGGGCTTCCGCTGCTACATGCCAAGCTAGCCACACCTTCGAATCCCACACACAGGCTACTGAGAAAGACAACATGTTAAAAGGTGGTGATTTAAAGGGGGGGGGATGAAGCTGAAATTAAAGTGCCAGTGGGGCTGGGGGCAGGGAAGTATAAAGTATAAAATAAATCCGATTTCACAGGTCTGCTATAATGGCCTCTCATGGAAACTTAGAATTCATAGAATGTGAGGACTAGAAGGCCTTAAGGGTCATATTTGATTATATCACCAAAAATAAAAATGACAGCAGCTGTACACTCTTTAGCTCTGAAGGCTAAGTTTAGGGGCAACACTGAACCCCCTTTCTCCACTGACTCCCCTGAACAACCAAGGAGGGGACACCCCAAGCCGATGGCGCAGGTGGAGGGCAGCCAGGGCTCCACATGAGTTATGACAACTTCAGGGATGCCAATAGTTGGGACACTAATGAGATCTCAAATGATATAAATACAAATGAATGAAACCATGAAGAGGGACACTGAATTGTTTCTCCCTTTCCTCAGCACAGTGAGAATGCTCACTATTTCCCAGTTATTTCAGTATTCCCCATTTGCTTCCCTCAATATAGCACAAAGGGGTTTTAAAAAGAATGGAAAGATCAACACCTCTTTAAAAACCAAAATCATTTACAAATATATTTATAGTACATAAAACAAGGGAATGCTCCTGGTTCAAAAAACAACAGCTTGCCCTAACCGGTTTGGCTCAGTGGCTAGAGTGTCAGCCTGCGGACTGAAAGGTCCCAGGTTCGATTCTGGCCAAGGGCATGTACCTTGGTTACGGGCACATCCCCAGTAGGAGGTGTACAGGAGGCAGCTGATCGATGTTTCTCTCTCATTGATGTTTCTAACTCTCTGTCCCTCTCCTTTCCTCTCTGTGAAAAATCAATAAAATATATTTTAAAAAAACCCCAAAAAACAAAACAACAGCTTTTCCCCCCATCCTGGAAGAGATAAACAACCAGGCCTCGGCTACAATGAGTTTTCTTAGTTTGGACCCAGTAGAAAACAAACCTGAAACTTCATTAAGGCATACCCTGTCTTGCTACAAAAACAAGGCAATGCTTTGTTCTGTAAGAGACATAAACATACTCTTACATACATGCTTCGAGCTGCTTCCTTAACAGAAGGAAGGAACAGACAAACCGAAGGCCTCTTGTAACCTTTCCTCTGTCACCTGGTGGCCCCCAGCAGGCATCCATGGCCCACCCCAGGTAGGGACAAGTGAACCCATGGCTGGAAGTCTGGTCACAGGAATCCTCACATGGCCAGGGCTTAGTGCCTCTTCTAGGTGTTACTAAGGATAAGAGCATGGTGGACAGACCTTCGCTTTCAGGCTGAGGCCTCAGACGTTATTCCAGATGGACGGCGGGCACATTACTTTAATATGAGATCATGCTTTGTAAGCAGACTTCAACAGGAACTTTTCTCCGTGCGTGTACACAGGGGAAATGTTGGCCTGATCTTTTCATGCTCTGGTTTAGTGCAAGAATCAAGAGCGCACAGGCTGAGGGGGGCAGGAGTACTGTTTTCATTATTCTCCACCTGTTCTACCAGCTTTTCACCATAGGGCTCAAATCTAAGAAGAGCTATGCTGGCCTCTCATTTGTTCTCTCTTTTAAAAAACGAAGCAAGCCTAGCCACTGAGGCTCAGTGGTTGAGTGTCAACCCATGAATCAGAAGATCACAGTTTGATTCCCAGTCAGGGCACATGCCCAGGTTGCAGGCTTGACCCCCGTAGGGGGTGTGTAGAAGGCAACCAATAGATGAGTTTTATCACTGATGTTTCTAACTTTCTCTCCCTCTCCCTTCCTATCTCTGCAATCAATAAAAAATTTTTTTTAAAAACAACAACAACAAAAAACCACACGAAGCAAACCCCAAACCAACTCAAGATAAATTTTAAGCTGAAAATGATCTTTACAGTTCCCTCTATTCCTCCATTTTTGGTCCAAATCAACAGGAAATTTAGAGCAATCCTTCGACAGTCAGCGTTCTGTACAGGCCTTTGTTTAGAAGGAGAGACAGCAGCTGGGCCAGTCTGTCTGAGTTTAGAGAAGAAGGGGAGTAACCGGAGGGGGCGGGGGGGATGTCCAGTTGTTACTTTAAGGATTTTCAACAATGGCAGCAGCAACAAAATGTTGTTTTAACAAATTAAAATTTTAAACCAGTAAATCAGTCAATAACAAGCATGTGGGTAGAAAGGGGCAACTGGAAATTCAAACTGGGTTTCATTCAGCAAGGATGCAGGCAGTAAACAAAGCTGGGGCTGTTTAAAATCAAACCTGCCCAGCTGCAATTACTCTGCAGTTGTGGCGTGAAAGGCTGTGAGAAGGTTAGGGGATTTGATTACTAAGCTAGTTCAGATTTCTAAAACCATAGCTTATGTTGGCAGGCCACCGTGGCTCCATACGCTAATCCATCTCCTTTTATACTATTTACCCCCTATTTCTGGAGTGCCATTCCTGGCTGAGGATTTTGTAGAATCGCGTACGCTTAGCAGGACAGCCATGTTCTATGTCAACGAGGAAAAAAAAAGACTTAAAAACCAATCTCCCTTAGCTGGTTTTCCCCAAAGCTGCCTATCTCTTACTCTCGTCTTGGCCACAAACCTATAATATGATATGAGACTCAAAGGTGAGTCAAACAAAGCTACATGTTATTATATGCCTTTGAGGTAGTTATGAGTTTAATGAATGTCACCAGGATCTAAATGATAAATTCCCCTGGAAGGCTAATTCCTTTACTTTAAAATAGAACTTTTAGAGTGGTTCTCACTAAGGGGTTCTTGCAAGCATGTGGTAACATTTTTGGTCATCACTGTGGTGGGGGAGGGAGAGGAATGGTGGTTATTCAGTGACAGGAACCAAGGATATTAAGCATCCTACAACAATAGGCACAGTCACAGTCCTGCCCCAAATACCGAGAACGTCCTCATGGAGATGTGCTTACCACCATCCATCCACAGGACTTGAGAGAAAGAGAGAGGGAGAGGGAGAGAGGGAGAGAGAGAGAGAGAGCGATATCTAGGCCCTCTAGTCCAGTCTCAAGGGACTGATTTAACATTAGGCCACGGGCAAAGTATAAATGACAGTCCAGGACATTTTGGTCCAGGCCCCTTCATTAACACAGTACTGCTGTTCTAACAATGGACACACTCGTGTCTTCACTGAAAATGGGGATTTAAAGGACGTGTTCACCTCTGACCCAAGACCAGAGAGCTAGGGCCACTGACAATCCCCAAACTCAGACAGCTTTCCAGTCACATTGATTCTAAGCAAGCAGCAGAGAAGCCAGAAGGACTGAGTCAAACTCTGAACCCAGGCCATTAGTTGGGGACATAGGGACAGGAAGGAAAACAAACCTTCTGCAGCTTTGGAAACAGTCAGAAACAACAGAACTAATTTCAGTTCAGTCATAGGTCTACAGGTATTAATAGAAAAATACCCCTGACTCTTTAAAAGACAATGTGCTACATTAAAGAAGCCCACCACTGATTCAGCTAAAACCCGAACAGAGGAGTATAAAGATATGCACATTCACTTGTAATTAATCTCATATTGTATAAATTCATACAACACACGGATTCTTTCTCAGGCACGACTCCTGAGTCAAATTTGACAAAATGTTCACAAAAAAGAACTATCACATTTACAACCAAAATCCTCAATACATTTCCTATTCCACAGTTAAAGGTGTGAAATGGAGCACAGAAACGTAAAACACTAAAATAAAATACTAAACTGAGGTGGATGGTGCAAACGAAAGGGATAAATCAAACAAGGATGGGTGATGTTAATAAAAATGTAGAAAGAAACTGACAAGGAAAAATTATTTTCAGAAAGATCAGAATTCCTATTACACCATCTTGAGAGGTGAAGCAGTATCATCAACATCCTAGCAATATAGAGCACCGCTTTTTCCCCAAATACGGCCAACTGTCAAAACTATAGCTGTCCAGGAATGTTCTGGAGAAAAGGCATCCAACCTGGCACCAGCAGCTGGCCCTGACCCTGCACCCATCCATCACCCCTCCCAAAAGCCCCTGCGTGCCAGATCTTGAAGCAGGCTGAGAAGACCCTCTAGGGACAAGCTGCGGTGTCAGTGAAATTTCTCTACAAGAATCATGAGTACGGAGTGAGGAAATGAGGGAATGAATGTCAGACCTCATGATGGAAATGGAGCCAAATAAAAGCAGCGACCTTACCCACGTTGTAGTCTTTGTGTTATGGTCAATGAAGAAGGGCCGGCCGTTCGGCGCGATCCTCATTTCCCAGCCCGGTGGCAGGAAGCTCTGTGTGACTTTGTGTTGTGGTTTGGGGGAGTTGTAAGGTGATGGCTGTGGGGACTGTGGATTGGAAAGGGTATCTTTCACAGCCCGACGTATGGGTGAATCCTTGGCACCCTAAGGAATAATAATGAGCATTAGAACTCTTACAGGTGCTAGTCCAGTGTGTCAAAATGTACCTGGGTATCACGAATGTTCCATTTGGAAAGGGACAAGGGGAAGCTTCTAAGAAATCTGTTTCTGTCATTTGTTTACTTTTAAATCAATTGAATTTTAAAGTTTTTCTATTGATTAAACACACATTAATTACTTAAAATCACCATCCTTTGATAGCTATTGGTTATATGCCAAAAATATTATGCTCCCCTGAGAATTATGGATGGAGACTTTACAGAGGGTGGAGAAAGACGTGCCCCTGCTCTTAATGAGCTCACAGTCTAATGAAGAATGGATTGGCAATTGCAGAGCATAAGAAGCCCCTATATCATCAAAGACAACCACCTGGACTCGTATGGTTACCAGGACATTTGTATCACAGTTTGGAAGAGAGCTATCATTCATTCCCACTCATTAGCATTTAAGCCTAGGGCACAGAGAGTACCACAGCTACCTCTAGGCCATCGTCAAGTTTAGAACTTGAACGTTTGTGCTCTGGCTTCTCCAACTCTCTGACGCGGTGATGCTAAGGCATGGTATTCAGACCACACAAACAGGAGAGCAACGCAGATGCACAGCAATGACTTAGGGATGCAGATATGCATCAGAAACATGTATGCCCATACAATGACAGACCCTACAGTCCAACGGAAAAGAAATGGTCAAAGCCACAGCTATCGTTTAAAACTTAATATAAGCACTGCTATCTGAAAGAGTTATTATGCATGTCTAATGAGGTAACAGGCAAGAAGGGGCAAAACAACAAGAATGGAGAAAGTTGTGAAGAGAGGAACCCACATGTACAGCACAAGTCACTATGGCCTCAGCCCCATGAGAATGAGAATCAGGTGAGAGTTCAAGGATGTGATTGAGCGCAACAGAGAAGCATATACTGAGGCTGTACAAGAACACCCTTCACCATGAACACACACAATGATCAGATAGGAAGGTGGCTGCGAAACTGAAGTCCAAGTTAAGAGAAAAGAGAGAATGAGAAGTCACAGGACAGACGTGACCCCAATAACACTGAGTAGCCTTCTCACCTCCAGTGGGGCAGATAAAGTTACTGTTGGCGAACTGAGGCTACGAGGCCGGCGGATCTGAGGCTCGATTAGATGGTTGTTACTGTTTGTGGCAGATCCAGATGCACCATCTTCTGCAAGCTATGTTGGAGCAAAAACAAGTTAGCTTTATGTGAGGATCTCCCTTTGTGTGTGGTTGGGAGTGTGGACCCAAACAACAACACAGCCAGCAGTAATGAGAGGTCTGGCCTATTTAAAGCATGGAGGAATGATTAAACATAATAATGGGGGAGGGGAAGGTTGGGGAAACACATTCAAGGGAAATAAAAATGAATCACTAGCCAGGCATGAAAACGAGCCTCAGGAAAAAAGGGGGTGGGAGTTGGGAGAGACACTACACACTGCTATAGGCTCTTACTTTGAAAATATCTTTCACATTACATTTAAAAAATATATATCTGGGGATAGAGTGATTTGGGGACCAAATTCTTCCATAGGCATATAGTATACTTAAAATAACACATGTTCTTTGTGGAAAAAATTTTTTCTAAAACATGGGTTCTCAGGACAATACATAAACAATAGCAGCGTGGAGCTCTTGTACATTTCGGCTTCACCTGCCTGCAATTTTCAGTTGTGTGGCGATCTGCATACCTGCATGATAGGCCGAGTCCAAGTGGTGGTTCGATTGTTATGATTGACATAGTATGTGCGTCCCTTAGCATCCTTCCTTTCTTCCCAGCCTGAAGGTAGGCCCGGCGTGGTGTGCACGTAGGCCACTGATGGCTGTTTGTGTAAGAAATCATCATTATTTAGTGCAGTTGTTTTCTGATCACTTTAATAAAGTAATGTACACTTAGAGAATTATTTTTTTCTAGACAAAGTAAGTTAACTCTATTTGTACCCAAAACACTAGTGTCCAGAAAACAGAAGTAGATTTCCAGTAGCTTCAAGTTTACTGCGAAATGAATCTCTGTGGAGTCCAAAATCTTACAGAACGCGTTCTTAAATGTCCAAAGTCTTAAATGCAATGGCTGCTGCTAATGTGCTAAGAGAAAAAAACAGCAACCTGTTTCAGATACTAAATTTTACCAAATTATGTAGAACTTAAAGGTATTTCAAATTGTCAAATGTCACTGTCTATGAGAGGAATGTCTGAATAGTTTCCTCTCGATATAGTTGCCACAGGGATACTCTCCTAGCTTATTCCTAAATTCTTCATCAGCTTAGGGCCCTTACATTGTATCTTTTAGGGGGAAAAGTACACAGAGGGCCTTCTCCAGGAGGTCTGCATTCACACCAATGGCATATAACCAAGAGGACCGACTAGGACACCCCAACTGCCCCAGCTTAGGAAGCCTCCTGGCGAGCTGAGGCTGTATTATCCTGTCTGCCCATGCAGAGCTTGTCTCTTTAAAGGGTGAAGGAAGCACAGGCAGTTTCTGGGTTTAGAAACATGTCCAGTATAGAGTGACTATATTTAGATAGTCCAGATTAGATCGAAAAGGATTCCTGAGACACTTCTGCTGGTAAGCAGCAGCCTGAGAAATGTAGCCGGGTGGAGAACTCTGGAATAGCAAGGATGTTTCAGTGACTCAAGGAGGCACCGAGATGGACATCTGAGGTCAGTGCTGTCTCAGGAGGAAGTCCTGGATGTATGGTGGCTGCATATCAGATCTGTCACTGGGAAAGGGGTGTTACTCTAAGGAGTGGGGGCGGATCAGATACAAGAAGCCAACCATGGCTATCCAGGCTCCCAGGAGAACGTAAAAGAAACAAGAGGCTAAACATTATTTGGGATATAAAAGGAAGCCACGTCTTTCTGGGTACCATCTCCCCTAATTAGGATCTTCTCACCCTCCAGATGTTTTACCAGTTGTCATTTTCTTGATATTAGGCTGAAAATGTAAATCTCTTGGCCCAGCTTCTCCCTGTGCTCATCCCATCTTTCGTGTCTCCTACCAACAATATGCTGTGGAAGAGAGGGTCACATCAGAGGATCCCCAGTCCACTGCATGACCCTGAGTTAGCATGATCAAGGATGCTACCACGTCATTGGGGACTTTAGTTAATGAGGCTCCATATTCTACTTCCTGAGCTCAACTGCACATTCCAGAGAAAAACTAACTGAGGCCATGGAACAGCTGCCTCAATGGTTATTTCTAAAACATGTTGAACAGGCAAGGCAACATTACTGGCAACGAAACTTTCTTCTAAAATTATAGCAATTACTCCCTTGACATTTTCCCAGATAAAAACTGAAATACCTCATCATGGTTAATTCCAAGACTCTGATCTTAGAGCATCCTGGGCCTACGTGTGTGGATTCAACAAGCGTGGAAGAAACACCAACAGGTAGACTTGATCCATCCATGGGTACTTAAGTCAGATGAATTTATACAGCCTGAAGCTCTTTCCGCCTTCCTCCTCTAGCACCAACAGAAAAGAACTTTTGCCGGTCTATTTTTTATCTATAAAAGACCGACTCTGCCAAACCAAGTTAGAACCCAAGTTGTATCCTAAGTTAGTGGTCAATTGGACTGTGTGGCAAAGTTCGTGCTATCAACAAGCTTTGACCTACTACTGCTCACATGAGGACCAAAAATGCTTGGGCTAAATGAAGTACTGAATGGAATTTGTTGCTTTTCTTGCTCCCTGTTATTTTTGGGGAGAGGCAATGAGATAGGCCCTGAGAAAACTCCGTTCTGGAAACCTTAAGGATAGTTTTGCAGTTATAACATCCCTGGAAAGGATATTTGTGAGGGGTCTGATAACTAGTATAGCTTGGCTGTGTCCTGGATAATCTCAGGATTACTTCTAAGACTGTATGACTTCCAGCACAGTATTCCAGCAATGAGGTTATTTTCGTAGATCTACAGTGAACAGGACTTATCAGATAACGGGAAATTAGGAGTGTAGTAGAGAACACTGAATTTGATTAAAATGTTCATTGTCCCTTCTACTGAGAACTGAACTGGTAATCCTTAATTTAGTTCCATTAAAAAGAGATGGTGCCATAAAAATATTCTCCTTATAGATTTCTTGACCATGGAGAACAGCCTGTGATGGTGATTCCACTTGTGACTCAAAACCTCTCACTCAGAGCTAGGGAGGGGCAGGACACAGTTTCCATGGACAGACCACAGAAGGGGCTAGCCCTGAGCCAAAATCAGACTTCCACTGTCGTGGAAGAAACAGTTAATTAGTCAAGAGACACGTTAAAACTGCTAGTAAGCTTAATTTAACATTTCACAGCTTTTCATCTGAATATACTATTGTGTTTCATAACGCCAAACAGCCGTTGTGCTACAGCTGCATAGAAGCTCCAATTATTTCATTAAAAGGAGAATCGATCATGTTTAAACCATCAAAGTTCAAATAGGCTTTTCCAGATGATAAATGTTTGGCACTATCACCGATGCCCCAAGATTCCCTCAAACCCTGCCATTCCCGTCATTTGTTTATTTTAGGGTCTACACAGCAAAGAGCAAAAAGACTGTGCTGTCCCTCTTGCTTCATCTCAGAGAGGGCTCCTGCTTAGCTCCCTGGAAAGTGTACTTATTTGTGGTAAATGAAAGGACTGTAGTTCTGCAGGTGAGAATCAGGATCTGTTTTTATACTACAGAAATAAAAGCTCTGCCAAGGAAAGACCAGGATGATTCAAGCAACATGGTGTGCAGGACGAATACGGGTGGGGCAAGGGGCTGAATGCTCACCAATGTGGGAAGATTATATAAACTGGTGCATTTGCATGACTGAAAATTATGTAATCATTAACATGTCCCAGAAGAATGACCGTAAGTGAAAAATACCAAGTTGCTAGGTGAAATGTACATGAGATCCTATTTGCGCACACACATGTATTTGTGAGAGCGGAACACAGCTCCAGTGTAAGCATGTACACTTCCGTGTGGGGCTGACAGGGAGAGGGTTGGGAGAAGGTGTAAGAGGGAATGAAACATGCTAGGAGATGGAACTGGAAAAGAGAAAGTAAAGGGCACTGGTGACAAGGGATAATGATGATGGAAAAGAAACAAATGTGACACTGTCAAACCTACTGAAACTTCGAATGTGGCCATAAAATTAGCTGGCTTATTGCAACAAAAAGATGACCAGGTACATAGAAAGCATGAGAGTAGGTAAAACATTTAGGAACTACTTCTATGGCCCAATTCTTCCAAATAAAAAACAAACTTTTATTTTTTACTCATTGGTGGGGGAAGGGAGAGTACTGGCAAGAAGAGGGCCGTGGTAATGGCCACAGGAACCACTCTGACCACGGAGCCCAGCGCTCTCACAACTAGTCTATCCTACCATTTAATATCACAGTGACCACACACTCCAATACGAACAGCAGTTTTTAAGACCGATAAAATGCAAATGTGGATGGAAGAGGATACTCATTAGCACTAAATTCTACTAAAATTATTTCATGAAATGTTCTCATCCCCCTTGCAGCTCTACTGCCATAGAAATTTCCAGTACACAGTAGGCAATGTGCCACTTCATTTGAAGGTTCATGTCTTCTACTGGAAGCTGAGCCTGGCCTACCCAACACATGACTTTCACAACACTTGACTTTTTGCAGCTCAATAGGTTAAATGAGGCTGATTTTTTGCTGATTGCAAATTTGATTTTCCTGTGTACAATGCTGAGCATTAAATTCTAACAACATAACTAAATTGTTCATTAAAAATCATCAACATTCTTCAGAAAACCTGCAATTGTATATGTATTTAAAGGTGTTCTCAAGTAATAAGCAGTTATAACAAACATAAGAAAGGTGAAACAATAAGGAAAATCCTTTAAATAGCCATAGCAGCTCTAGACATATACTATAAGCTAGCCTGTCTTCAGGGATCAAATAGAAAACAGACAATTAAAGTACATAGTCAAATCCATTATTTAAAATAACGAATAATAACAACAGATACTTGGCTTAGAGAAACACCATTATTTCTAAATCTTTCAAATTTATTAAACATGCCCCCCTCCCTCCTATCCCCCAAGTAGTATATAAACATCTGTTTATTCCTGTGAGGAGAGTCACTGGTTCAAGCTCATGATACGGAAAATCTAACTCAGTGTTTAAAATGTGGGGCAGAAAACACACAGGAGATAGCTACTGTGCCCAACTGAAAATCCACTTGTGCAACTGCTCCTCAGGCTTGAATCACACAACTGAGTATGTTTATTGATTTCAGAGAGGAAGGGAGAGGGAGAGATAGAAACATCAATGATGAGAGAGGGGCCAAAAATATATTCTTAATGGTCAAATTAAATGCACTTAAAGCTTGACAGTCTTCCTGATAAAACTATATGAGACTAGCTGGACTGGTGTTGTTCAGTGGTTGGGTATCGATCCAGGAACTAGGACGTCAGAGTTCGATTCCTGGTCAGGGCACATGCCAGGGTTACAGGCTTGATCCCCATTAGGGGGTGTGCAGGAGACAGCCGATCAATGATTCTCTTTCATCACTGATGTTTCTCTCTCTCTCTCCCTCTCCTTTCCTCTCTGAAATCAATAAAAATATATTAAAAATAAAAGAACCATGTGCATCTCTGCAACACAAAAAAGTCAATATCCGCCCCCTCCAAAAAAAAAGAAGAAAAAAGGAGCATATTCACCATTATACAAAATATTAAAACGAACCCACAGTTTTGCTGTTAAAGTCTGATCAAGGGTATCATTACCGTTGGCTCCTCACCACCTGTGACAGTTGACGAACGCGCTCTCCTAGTTGGGGCACTGGGCTGTTAAATGATAATTTATATCAGTGAAAGGCACTTAGGGAGACCACCCGTTGTTTACTGAATCAGGAATCACTGCTGTGGCAGCCAGTGAGGCAGGTGACATGAATCAGAATCCTTGAAACCCTTTCTGTCCAAGTAAAGCTGAGCGGTCACTGATGACCAGAGGAGCAAGGACCCAGTCAACCTCCCATCCACAGAAGCCTCAGGCTGCAGACTCGATTTGGCCGAACAATGAATTGACAACCTCAATAACAATGATGAGATGTCTTGTTCGGAAAAGAAATTGAACACCACTGTAGTTTTGCCCCCACTGTTAAATAATGAGCAGGTTCTTAAATCTGCCACTCAAAATCAAGAGGCCACTGGTGATCAGTGAGTTTTCAGCTTTGGAGAGTGTAAGGGAGGAGTCATCTGTTTCCAGGAAAAGAGACTCTTTGGCAAATAAAATTAACATTGATTGTGAAAAGGAGAGGAAGTGCCATTAATTCATCAAGGAAAATCACAGAATCATTAGGCGGAGGATCCCATCACAGCTGATTGTTGTTTTGGGGGAGATCTGAACTGAAACCATCCCAGAAAGGACGCTCTTGTCAAGCTTATCAACCAGCACATTGGATACAAGGCACAAATGAATCCCTTATTTTGACCACTCAGTTGACTAGTGTACTCATTCATTCATTTTGCAGCATAAAAGATAAAAGCTAGGCAAAAAAAAAATCCTTCTGACTTGTGCAAAGGTGTACACAATAGGGAAGACACTGAGCTTTCAAAATCTGTAAGTGCACTTTCCCCCCACCACACATAATAAAGTATTAGTGCTAAAAATGATTGAGGATTCGTGGTCATAAAAAAACTGGTTATGGTCAAACATCACATTGGACATGCTAAAATAAAAGCACATAGTTTCTCCCCCCAAAAGAAGAAACAAAGTCGCATCACGTTTCTTTCGTTGACATGTACACCAAACATCTCCCTAGGCAGTTCTGGTCGGCCTTCCAATTGGAATATTCATTTTCATTTATGTCCTATATTATTAAACATTGCCACTCTTCCCTATTTGCTGCTAACTATAGAAACTGTGGGAGAGTAGGAGCTAGTTCAGCCGTGGGCAAACTTCGGCCCGCGTTTGAAATGAATAAAACTATTGAAAAAAAAGACCATACCCTTTTATGTAATGATGTTTACTTTGAATTTATATTAGTTCACACAAACACTCCATCCATGCTTTTGTTCCGGCCCTCCGGTCCAGTTTAAGAACCCATTGTGGCCCTCAAGTCAAAAAGTTTGCCCACCCCTGATACTAGTTGTAGCTAATTCTTTAGCCAGTAGAGCTGCCTTTAAGGAGAAGGTACAGACGCTGTGTGGGGTTAATTAGGTCGTCATGGAAGCCTACTTCGCTCACACCTGGAAGAGTTCTTCCTGTTTAAAAGGATTCAGTATGTTCTTAAATACAATCACCAGAGCACAGCTTGAGGGACTAAATTCAATCTTTTTAAAAATTACTTAACGTATGCTTTTAGTTAAGTGAGCACATCAGAGTTGGTATTAATTTGGGTGAAAAACTAAGCAATGGAGTTTTTACCATTTTAGAGACTTTGGTGGCAAAAACAACTCTTTGTATTGGAAATCCATTCTCTTTGGGCAATTTGCTAGGAAATTTGAGTGTCTCATTTATATTGTAAATGGATTTGCACAGGAAAAACTCTTCCTCAGTGCCCCAATGATTTTAAATAAAAGCTGAAAGAGCCAGCTGGGGAAGGGAAATGCGCGTGGGTTACCGGTGGTAGGTGAGCCTGCTCCGCGACCGCATCGGTGACACTGCACGACCTCAACCTCGAGGAGGGCTCCCTCTGCTGAGGGGAGGAAAGGACACGGAGCGTCAAGAAAACATTCTTAGAAAAAGTTCCATTGGCTCACAAAATATACCATTGGTGCTATTCACAGCCCTATGATAATGGAAGGCAATTAAATGAAACATCTTTTCAGGGTAATGAGAGTAGTCCTTTCAGGAGTCAAGTTGTCTGCAGTTGTTTTCATTCTCAGTGAATTAAGCAGACTGGGTTTTGATCAGTCCTTAGAAATAACAGCAAAAAATAAGGGAACAAGGTCAAAGCATGAAAGGGGACTTAACAGGCCACCATAACACTCTAGGGTTGCTTGAAAAATAGAAATTGGAAGCTGGAAGTCTTATCATTTGTTTTGGGATGCATCCTATAGAAAGGAATATTGAGATATGATTATGAAACATTTATTGACTATTATTATCATTGATAAAGAACCAATTGGATTCTATATCCAAGGAAACTCAAATATAACTTCGTGCTACTTCTGAAGGGTCAGGTATTTACAATTTTGGCTTCTCAATGGAGTTAAAGTCACACAGATAAGGAATGAAGGGAAATAGTGAGGCTAACCTAGTAAATCAAATGTGTAATGTATAACGTTCCTCTCACTTGTTTGCTTCACCTATGTAGTTTTAAAAAGAGCCTAACAAATCCAATCAGAGAACACAGCAGGTGACGCATACAAAATCCAGGGTCTAATCAGCAACAGGTTCATCCAGGGGACACGTTTGATATTTTGCAATAACTAAAATGCGATAAGGACAAAGAAAGACTTTGGGGCAGGGAAGAGAGTGGGGGACTATCCACGTCTTTCTACAGTAGCTGCTGTTATTGTTCTGGATACAGTGACCCTGAGAAGAACTGGAGAAGAGTCCCATGTTCTTCTCTTTCTTAGGCACCTTTATTTAATACTTGAACCAGACTCAACAATCTTAAAATAATTCTGACATGTGCACTTGGATGTTAAAGGTATTTTATATAGCTTTAATAAGTAAATGCAGGAGCTCCTTATACAAATAATTAGAGATGTTAACGTAATATTAATGCTGAAGAATATTATGATTTTTCACTTGGTAGACCAAAGGTATTTAATTGCTATAATTATTGCAATACTTCCTTTAATATGTTTTAAATATATGGCTTCATTGCTTATATTGTTTCCATAGCAACAGTTTTACCAATTCAAATGTCCTATATATGTAAACTCTTTTTTCCCCTGCCCCCTTAGTACTAAATTTTCATCTCATTGATATTTCTTTGTGAAAACCATTAACAGACTTTTAATATAAAACCACATTAAATAATCACTGCATCTCACACAAATTGGTCAATGGTGTCTGTTAAAATAAAAACACCGTAACTGAATAAGGAGCAATTTTGTGAGTATTTGCTTTTACATATCATGCAGTCCTACCCATTTACATTTTATATGATCCCAATAATGCCTATTTTTTTTTTTTAGGTGCCATTTTCAGTGACATCACTCCCATCTTTACTACAGAACAGCTTTAAGTTCAATTTCCCCATCTTTACTACAGAACAGCTTTAAGTTCAAGTTCTCACTTTAAGAAAGTGAGACTGCATTTATTCTCAGTTTAAAGCTCAAGCAGGAATTTTCTATGGGCTTTTTTTGCAGTTTTATACTGTCAAACACAGAGTTCTTCATGGCTGATTCTGCTGCTTACCAGGGCTCAGCTGAAGCTTCTAGAAAGAGTGTCCTTAATTGTTGAGAACACCAATTCAAATGTTACTACCCTGACGTCAGTATCCCAATTCCACAACCCTTCTTAAGGACTGGTTTTCTGGGACGTAAATGTTTTCTATCTCCTATTCGAACTTTGTCTTGGATGGGTCCCTTAAAGACTATGCTTACATCTCTGAAATGAGTATGATTTAAGAGGACTGATTGGGAGGCCCAATATCTCCTCCATGTCCCCAGTGCAAAAAGCCACCTTTGTGGTGAGAGCACTATGAGCCTTCGGCTGGGAGGAGAAATTCTACATGGTTAAAGCTGAGAATTATAGAAGTCATGAACTCTTATTTTCTTGCATTCTTTTTAAATCAAGAAAGATTCTCACCTGCGTGGCCAATTTTGGTATAGTCCTGCTTCTCCTAGGTTAGGAGGAACTTAGGAAAATGTCAGAATTATCTGGGAGCTAGAAGACCCTTGGTCATTATTTGCATACAAGACTCTCTTAAAGCAACAATAAAAAAATGATAAAATATTTGTTTAACTTCTCATTCAAACAGGACGATTACTCACAATCAAAGAACCAAACTGCTCCCCATTGGAGTCCGTAGTGAACTGAAGCCTTCTGCTTAGTTCTTCAGACAGCTCTTGAGGGCTGGTCCGAGAGGATGGGGAGGAAGGTGGTGGGGGCAGCGGCAGACTGAGGGAGGAGTCTCCAGTGATAGCTGCTTCTTCTGAAATGGTCTCCCAAGGCTACCAATGGATGAGATGCAGAGGTAAATGCTGGGAAGGAGGAATCCCCAACAATAACCATTATCATAACTATAATTAACATTTACTAAGCATGTAGGAGGCAAATAATCTTCTCAAGGACCACGAGAAAGATATGACTACAACCCTAATTAGCAGGTGAGGAAACTGAGGCATAGAGGGGGACTTGCCCAAGGTAATAGAGCTATGAAGTGGCAGGACCAGGTCTTGAACCAAGGAGGCCAGATTCCATGGGCTGTGCTCTTAACCACTTTATAATACCACCTCTCTGAGCTGTGACTGACCTCTAGCTCTCATTACTAAATGCATGGGTTAAAAAATAATCTCAGGAATTCATTGATAACTTCCATGGAGTTCCTTTCACTCTAACTTCTCAGGATTCAGAATGAAAACAGCATAGATGCTATAATCTGTAATTAAACAATGTTGTAAAGTACCTTTCAGTAAATTTTTTATGGAATCAATTTGGCTTTTCAATTTTTGATCACTGGAGCATTTTGTAAATGATCTTCCTGAGGTAATACCTTTAATGGATTTCTAGTAAGTAAACAGAGCTATTAAGGCAGCATGGAAGTTATGATAATTGTTCATTTGTTCTTCAATTCATAACTTCCCCCACCCCAGTAATTTACCATAAATATTTCAGGGGCAAATTATAAACAGTGCCATTCACCCAAATTTGTATTTCCTTGGTAATACATCTCTTTTGTGATGTCAAAAGTACTAGTATTCAGTAATAGCTTGTACTTGGTACCCAAACAAGTTATAGGGCTCACTCAATTGCAATTATGGAGTAAAAAAATCTTAAGATCCCCAAAACGCCATTCTTTTGTAATAATATAGATACATGCATTCATCAAACATGATTTTTATGAGCACTTTCTAAATATCTCGATGGTTGTCAATTAGCTATGAGACCATTAGATAGCTTTTATGGAGAAAGGAAATCACAGAATAGAATCAAGCTGGGAACACAGAGAGGAGGGGGTGCAGAGTCTGGGGCAGCGGACGCAGTACCTCGGGGCCCTCTCCGCCCTCGGAGGGCTCGGGCTCCAGGTCCTCGCTGATGTGCCGGCGGGAGCGGAAGCGCCGGTGGGCTGCCTCCTGGTTGATCTGCCGGATGTTGCTGTCCGCCTCGGAGGACACATCCCTGAGGGCAGGGGGTGGAGACAGCAGACCCCATATTGATAAGTGGCCCCTCAACAAGAGTCCAACACTCACCAAGGGCCTGGCACCTACTAAAATGACAGTGCACTTATGTTCAACAAGCTGACAATGAGAATTCTTCCACCATATTTTGGGGGCGTTTAGAGTAGAAGTTAAAACGTCAAAATGTTTCTCAGAGAAAACTCACACAGACTCCTTTGATAAGACACCATATTCAGTTGACAAAAATGATGTCACAAGTTAATATTTCAAAATATTTGAAAACATTATTTAAACTAATTGAAATATAGTATTAATCCAGGGCCCTTGTTACAGATTTTCCTAAAACATAGGTTTTAAACATTCAAACAAACAAATACTGCATTCCAATAAAGAGCCTGTGGGGCTCCTGAATAGTAAAGAGCTTGCAACTAACAGTCTTGTATGCAAATAAATAGGTAACTCTTGAAATGGTTTAAGTCCTTCAAATAGACATCTTTACACAATTAGTTTTACTGGTAAAGGGGGTAAGATGAAGGTTAGCTTTCATTTAATCCATATTAAAATGATAATTTATTATGAAAATCTGAATTAAGTTTTACTGTATCTGCACATCCAATATACAAACTTTTGAACTCTAACAGAAATATATCCTGCATATTTTATAGTAATACTAGAGGCCTGCTGCATGATATTCGTGCTCTGGGGGGGGGGGGGGGGTTCCTTCAGCCTGGCCTGCGCCCTCTCGCAGTCTGGGACCCCTCGCTTCTTACCATCTGCCTGCTCACTGCTCCTTGCCACTCGGCTTACTGCTCCTTAGTGCTGCCCCGGGGGCAGGAAAGGCTCCTGCCACCGCCCGCTGCTCTTGCCAGCCTTGAGCGCGGCTTCTGGCTGAGCAATGCTCCCCCTGTGGGAGAGCACTGACCACCAGGGGGCAGCTCCTGCATTGAGCGTCTGCCCCCTGGTGGTAAGTGCGCATCATAGTGACTGGTCATTTTGGTCGTTCCGCTGCAATGGTCGCTCAGGCTTTTATTATATAGATTAAAGAATAACTAAACTAAAAACAGGACACTAAATGGAGATACCTTCTGAAAAACGGACAATTATGGCCATAAATAAAATAATTACAATCAAGGGATACCCAAGTATTCTAATAACATTTCTGAAACCACCAAAACAGAATGATAAAAATAACACTATGGGATATATTAGAAAATGTAATATTGCTTTTTGTGATTTCATATTGCTACAGTCATTTTTATACGGCATTCATTTCTTAAGCAAACAATGCTTATCGAAAGTAATTATAAGGCATTACAAAGCTCACAAAAAGTAGGTCAGAATGATCAAAATACCTTAATAAAATGTGTAAAATATTTCAGTAGTGTCTAAGAAAGCAAAGGAAATTTTACATTGTCCTCTTTCACTTTTTATTGAAGATGAAAGCAATATCACTGTATAATGACTGGATTTCCTTAAAAATATTTTACAAATAAGAGTTTCATTAAAATTTGAAATCTTCACTTGAAATATCAGTCATCATTTATTCAGTCAACAGAGAGACTAATGTTTGCATGCTACATGTGCCAGACCCTAACACATACCTGAATTGTTACAGGAACTTCTGAGAGGTTGAAAAGAATAAGGTTTTCATTACTCTCTCTGCATTTTGTATCTCTCAGAAGTATATACAAAAGTCCATTATTTGGAAAAACTGGTGTGTTGTTTTTTTTTTTAAAAGGGCATTTAAAATCAATTATGCCAATCTTCCTTACCCAACATGCTCAAATAATTAGTAATCTGTGTGAACCAGAAACAACTAAATAGCATAAAGAAGCCAGATACCTCTGATTTTGAAATTCCAAACACGGGCTTTTATGGTCTTTTAGTGCCAAAATGAAAATGTTCACACCATGGTATTTAATTAACTGAATGAGAGGGTTTGGAACAGAAGTTGTTGAAACTGACTGTAAGTATAAATGGTCACTAATGGCCAGATAAACATGTAAAATATTCCTAATCTGACAAACTAAAACAGAAAAATGGTTTTACCTGGGGCCAGAAAAAATTTAAGGAATGGCTATTTCAATTTTCATCAGTCATTAATTTCACATATGCATTGTTCAATTAACTTTCATGGAAAATGTACAAATGAATAAAGACAAGTTCAGTGCCAATTAGGATCAGTGTGCCAGATCATTTACATTCACATACATTAGTGACTATATGACTGCACTACTGCTAAGACAGGGAAAGATGTACAAAGTATTTTAGAGAGCTAAAATAAGTGCAAATTAGGTGAGTTTAACAAGTTCATCTTCATTTATCATCTTCATGTAATTCCCCACCTTTTTTAAAAAACTGTAGTTTTTACAGTAAAAAGTCTATAGTTTATGCTAAAATAGGAAAAGGACAAATTTAAAATTAGGGGTGTTTTAAAAGCCACCATCAAACTTGAGGGGGCTGGGATGTCTTCTCTGGTCACCTTCTGTTCTAAAGTATGCATCCAGATCTAAACCTGTCCTAGACAGTGCAGGAAACCATGTGTATGATCACTTTCAGAAGTGACTCATCTGTAGTCAGTCATTCAGTTAAAGGCACTGGCTGAGCGCCGACTTTGTGCCAGGTGCAAAGGATAGATTTGCTCCAACAGGGAATTAGAATATTCTATGCTCCGAGCCAGGACTGCGAAAGCCCAAGGTTTTTGCAGGGACGCCTGCCTAAGGGGGTCTGGCTCCCCAGAGGAAGGTGCATTAGGCTGGCGGTAGCCGGGGAAGGGCATGTTCTAGTTTCTCCCCGTCTTTTTGGAGGGTAGGGGAGGGAAGCAGCACAGCCATGGAGCCAAAAAGAAGATGAAGTAATGAGGAAGCAGCTTGCATGATTGGGCCACTTGGGTGCCTGCATGTTTATGATTGCGGTGGCGAGTCTGAAGGAGACAGGATGGAAACCGACCTTGTAAAAACAGTCTGAGGGCACCGATATTTTTTCAGGGTGAACAATTTTTAGAGGGTTTGAAGTTTGAGGCACAAGGTAAGAAATGAGAATCACCAGGAGTGTCACAATTCTCGATTAGCACATGGTAATCGGTAATCACTATGTGATTTTCTCAGATACAGCTGATTAATACAGACTTCTCATTATCAATTTTCCTGCAAAGAGTACTGACTTCTGAAAACAATTATTTCTGAATTAAAACAATCCCTTAATTCTGGAAGGCCTGAGGGTTTCAGGCCAAGCCAAATAAAGTTAAGGAGAAAGAACCCCGGGTTCTCAAACAGCACAGATGGGATCAAGAGGTCACTATGGAAACCCACTCTCCTTATCTAACTCTTCTTGGCTTTCTAGACGTCAACCGGAAAGGAGCCGTTCCACGAGCTCCACCCCGAGTCCTGCTGTGTCCTTCCTGGCTCCGCCTCTCATTGGAGCTCAGCTGCCTCAGGGATGGATGGGGATGGTCATGTCACTGACTTCTCCCTAAACTACATGCGGACCTGTACTTGGATGAAGAACTGCATCTTCCCATGTTGCTTCTGGGCTCCTGCTTTGCCAGCATTATACAAGCTACATCATCTGTTTTGGTTTAATTCTTTGGTACATTGACACCAAAGATGGTATGTTTAGAAAACCACATAAAGTGTTTTCTCAGTGATTCCCTCATTAGTTTCACAACTCTGGGAGGAAGCTAAAGTTGCAATTATCACCATTTATCCTCCAAATATAGATTTCAGTTTACCAGTACATGGTAATTATTAATAAAGGTGAAAAATTTCCATAGATGTATTGGCCATAAGTATTTCTTCCTTTGTGAGTTGCTAGTGGTCACTTTCCTACAGAGGTCACATGACATACTGGTCCCAACAGAGTGCTATGTTTTAAGGTACTTTCTTACAATGTTTAGCAAAGGTAGGTTATGGTGTTTTGCTTAGGGTTATCACTACCAAGATTCTTCTGATCACTACATATTACCAAGTCCAAGGTGAGTCCGTTTTTGAAAAAAACTACAAATAGCTAGCGTAATCAAATGACTTACAACAGTTTTAACAGCTATGGCCATTAACCAGAGGAAAATAGTAAAATATTTAATTTAATATAAAAGATCACCAAATCATTTCCATGGGAAAAAAATTACAATAAAAAAGAGTTTAGCATCACCCCAATGTTCTGATATTTCTGTTGTCCTGGGGGCAATGAGCTGATGTCCATGCTAGGCAGTCCAAAGCTGACCAAGGACAGCTGATATTCACAAGAACCCATCTGGAGGCGTAGGAAGGCCTGGCTATTTGTTGCTGAAGATTCTGCAAACTCTAGTTCTAAATCAACAAAACCCAGACCAAACTTCTTGGCTACCTTCCCCACCCAGGATATCTTTGAAATTTCTAAAGAGAAGAGTTATCAACAACACCATCCATCCATCATACTGCTAATACCCCTTGTTTCAAAATATCATTAGCAAATTTCCTTCAGAGTCTGGGTTAAGGAGAAAATTATCTCACCTGATATACTTGGCCTTTGGCACCTGTTGCAATTATATAACTCATTGATAATTACCTCCTTATCTTGGCTGCTAGTGAACTCATGATTGCTAGAATAATTTTTTCTTTTCCTTCTTTTAATACTTTTTTTTAACCGTTTATTGCATATTAACAGTTTTAGATCTTGAGGTATACTGTGATTTAAAAACAAGCTAAGTGAAATAAGTCAGTCAGAGAAAGACAAGTATCACATGATCTCACTCATATGTGGAATCTAAAGAACAAAATAAACCCAGAGACATAGAAGCATAAAACAGACTGATGTATTTCAGAGAGAAGGTGGGGGTGAGTGGGAAGGGATTAACCAAAGAACTTACATGCATACCCCATGGACACAGACAATAGTGTGGTGAAGGCCTGGGGTTGCGGGGGAGGGAGGTGTGGGGTAGAAAGGGTCAATGGGAGGGAAAAAAGGGACATCTGTAATACTCTCAACAATAAAAATAAATTAAGAAATAGGTAAATAGAAACAAGCTACTTCGAATCCTTTTTTATAGTAGCTGAGGTTTAACTAGTATTTATTTGGTATCATCAAACCAAAAATTGCCAAGTAAACAAAAACAGTAATCAGTGCAATGCCTCCATGAGGTTGGGGAGAGATCAGAATTAGCAGTAATTACTAATTCTGAGTTCGCAACAATCCCATGTGTTCCTAATTATTTATATCAAAGGGGTGATATAGAAATTTCTCAAAAAAGGGAAAACAAAAAATTTTAAGAGGGTTTCTAAATCAAGTAATTAAAGGGAATAAAAATCCCAAATCTTAAGGGGGAAAAGAACACTGCAAGGCCAATTTGCTTGTTGTTTTCCATCCTGGGTTAGTGAGAAGAGGAAGCTGAAGAAGAGGGAAATGATATCACCAAAGAAAAGACAAATCTAAGAAATGTAACCTCTGCTTTGTATTTCACAAATCTATATAAAGAAGACAGACAGCCCTGGCCCGGTAGCTCAGTTGGTTAAAGCACTGTCCCAATACACCAAGGTTGTGGGTTTGATCCCTGGTCAGGGCACATACAAAAATCAACTAATGAATGCATAAATAAGTGGAGCCAACAAATCAGTATTGCTCTCTCTCCCCCTTCCTCTCTCTAAAAATCAATAAATATTTTTTTTAAAAAAGACAAAATCAATCCTATATTAATGCAAATCGACCAAATGGCAGAACAACCTTTCACTATAATACACACTGACCACCAGGGGGCAGATGCTTAACACAGGAGCTGTTTCTTGGTGGTTAGTGCGCTCAGCCAGAAGCCAGGCTCACAGCTGGTGAGCGCAGTGGCGGTGGCGGGAGCCTCTCCTGCTCTGTGGCAGTGTTAAGGATGTCCGACTGCGGCTTAGGCCCGCTCCACGGACATCCTCCTGGACTGCAAGAGGGCACAAGCTGGGCTGAGGGAGCCCCCCCCCCCCCCCCCGGGCCAGTGCAGAAATTTCATGCACTGGGCCTCTAGTTAGTTCATAAAATAGCAGAATGCGATCAAAGGCAAGGGCTTCCTCATCATATGCAAATTCTGACAGGCTGCCATGCTCTTGAACTCAATGAAGGGGAACCCTGACGTACCATACCACCACATGCTTTTACAGACATGAGATATATTTCCCAGGCCCGGCTCAAAGAGCTGCCACGTTTGGCCCTACCTGCAGACGATGACGTGTGTTCCTAACCATCCTACAGTACTCACATCAGTGTCGGTCGGTGCCACTGAGTGGATCGGTTGTTGTGGTTGACGTAGTAGGTCCGACCTAAATTGTCCACTTTCTCTTCCCAGCCAGGGGGCAGAGGAGGAGGAAGCTCCTCCTGGTGCTGAGAAGCTGAGTCATTTGAGTCCACGACTTCCCACCCGTGCTGTGGAGTAAGATCACAGGGAAGGTCATGAGGCTGGATCTTCAGGCGAGGAAAAGACACTCACAGTGCCCACTGTGTCCTTGCTCCGCTGCTCTCTGGCTCCTGCAGTGGCTTCATGTGCCATATCTGAAGAAATTCCCCCAAAGAGGCAAAAAACCCCAAATTCCAGGAGAGTAGTATGAAAATATTTTGAGCAATAGTCAACTAAGTGTGGCCATTTTGCCTTAAGATGACTACTAGGAGGAGCCACAGAGAGTTGGTAATGTATTGTCTGCTGTGTTCCTAAGTCACATTCTACTCCTTCCACATTGAATATTCATTATTTTGACCCAAAGGCCTCCAAGGCTGTACAAAGCCAGGGCACCAACGCGGGTCCTGTTACACCTGCCATCTTTTCAACACCTCCCAAAGGCAAAGGGGAGCTGGGAGATAAGCTGCACTGCGTGTGTTCTAACAAAAATTGCAGCACCAGTGACCAGGAGGGAGGGTGGCCCTGAAGCTGGCTTTGGGGGTGAAACTCACACTCCCCATCCAGTACAATCCCGGGAGCCAGAGATGTCTGAATGCTGTGGCATTCTACTTACACCCCCTACTCGCTGGGACCACATAAACAGGTTTCATGGTACCAGTTACATTTTTGCAACACATATTTTAGGCATTAAGTATTCCTTCCTAACATCCCCTAGTAAAGTCACTGGAAAATGAAGTAATTCACGGGTTACTACGGTTGGGAGGTTAGAAGAGTATAAAAAAAATTCCTTGGATTTGAGATAAGAATCTGTTGATGTGCTTGTGAAATCTTAACATTCATGACTGTCTACCTCCCACTTCACTCCTCCTCACAGATGAAAGCTCACAGATGAAATACTGCCTGGAAATCTGACCTCTGGGTCTGAGGGAGGCTCAGTTGACTTGCCCACATAGTCACATATCACATATATGCAACAGCTGCAAACAGATGTGTAAAACAAGCCATAGAGAGGCCTTGTTTAGTGGACATTTTCAGGACAAGATGAGACTCTAACAAAACAGCACTATCTGAAGGACGTGCTGAGAAGGTACAATAGGACCCACGGATTAGGCATGTGACTAGCAAGTTAACACATTTCGTACGCTCAGGAGTTTTCTTGTGTTTCGCGCGCCATCTGTTAAGGACCACTCATGAGTGTTCTCGTTTTTCACGCCCATGGAAAAAGGAGCGAATCTAGATACTTATGTAAATTTTGTTTGGTCCCTTTTCATAGAGGAAAATGTTTTACGCAGTACCATACGTTAAAAAAGTACTAGGAACTTTAACTGTTTAATTGTTTTTGTAAATAAAAATGTTATAATTATTGAAAAACAACACCTAAAGTGCATTATGATGATTTAAATAACGTGCAGTTTGCCCAAAAACGTGCGGTCCCTGGCGTATGTCTTAGAGATTTCTATGTGGTACACAATGTGTTAAAAGGCAGCGAGGCCAGGAGGGAAAGAAAGAAAATTCCCCTGACAGCTCATTCCAAAATGGTATTTCTAGAGGAAAGCTTGCCTGATTCACACTGTCACCTGTGGGCCAAACGAGTGAGAGACCTGGCAAAGATTTTCTAAATCACTTGATCCACTTTGAAGCAATTCCACTTGCTAAAGGAATTTACAAAGAGCTGAGAGTCCAAAGTAATAACAGAATTAAATATATGAGGAGAATTCACATAGGGGTGGGGCTATTAATAAAATATGAGTTTAGCATTTTATAAAGAGAAATCTTTTCAATTATTAGTGTTGTAATGTAAGATGAAAAGTTAATCTTTTTTACTAAAAACAAACATACTGGTAGATGATCAAAGACAGATTCCCGGGCACTTTTAAGTTTTTTCGTATTTAAAAGCTTTATAAACTTTTATTTCTTTAAATAATAAAATCTTACAATGAAATAGTCGTATGATCTTAGGCAAGGAAGAGAAACCAAGGCCTGACGCTCTTACCTCCATGTCTTCCCTCTGCTCACTGTTTTCTTCATCTTGGCCTCCGTTTTTTGGCATATAGGCCATTTTCAATCGCAAGAATCCCTTAACTCGAGATTTATGACTGTATGATAGAAGAACATTGGTTACAAAGGATATGGCTTGGTTATATCTTTCATATTTATGATGACTTTTAAAAAAGGTAAAACAGGAAAAGTTGCTAAATCTTCCTCAGAGAAACCAATAACCAAGGCATAATGGACCCCTGCCCCTAAGGCCTCACCTTCTTGGTCTGAGGAGAAAGTCCTTAAACGTGTAGGGTCGCTCCATGGTTGGGTCTTCTGTCTGCAGGAAGAAAAAGTAAGTTTCAATACCCCTGAGATATTGTATTGTTAGGTACACCAGACTGGATTACAGAGAGTACATTTTCATTTTAGAATGTGGGAACAGCAAAGACAGAGTCGGTTCCTCAATCAGTTACTTGGACAATTATTTAACATTTTATAGGTCCCAGACTTTAGTCACTCCAGATCCACTAGATGTCACTATCAACATCTGTTTTTAGGAGCCAACCCGGCCTTAGACAAATGACAAAATGATAGTGGTCAATGCCAAGCATAATTCCTAACTGCAGGGTGGAGGCCTCAATCTCACATACAGGTTAACGTAGAGAACCAGTGGTCATCCAAGAAACCTAAAGATGGAGTTAACAGGAAAGTATGCAAGATCTAATCTGTGAAGGGAATAATTTTACTTTAACATTGTCATCAGCCTAGACAAATGAAAGGTTATCTCCTCCACAGAGATCGTCCTAGGTGGCACCATCAATCTACCTTTTGCTGCTGCTTATTTCATGAAGCTATGAATGCAATTGTAACATTTATCCATTTTTCAAAGAAATCAAAAGATCGTGCTTAATCAAAGCAAGTAGGAAATTAGAAAAATAAATGTTACTATTTCATTAATTAAATAGTAAAATCTCAAAAACCTAGGCTCTTTAATGAAACATAATTTAGAATATTTACTTCTGTAACAAGAGAGACCACAATACCATGATTTTTTTTTTTTTGAATGAGAGGGGTGTGTGTATATGCATTTATATTTGAAATTAGTGACCTGGTGCACAGATTTGTGCACATTGAAAGGAAATTAATTAGAAGGTGGCCAGTGGGGCAGATCTGGGCGGGGCGGGACTGGGCAAGAGGGGCAAGACATGCCCTGGAGCCAACCGCCCGCAGGTCCCTCCGCACTGTGGCTCGAAGGGTGTCTGCACAGTGAGCCGGGTCCCTCTGGCAGGTGGGGTCCCTTGGCCTAGCCTGTGGGGATTGGGCCCAAACCAGCTCTCTGACATCCCCCGAGGCGTCCTGGAGTGCGAGAGGGCACTCTGCAAGGTTGCTGTTGTACAGGGTGTGGAACTCAAATGCAAGTGTGCAATAAACCAGATTCAGGGCCAACAGTGCCCCAGCAACAACATAACCCAAGGCTGAAGGTGGAATCACATGGCCCTGTGAGGAATTGGGCTCCCTCTTCTCTAGTTTCGGGGTGCGTCGTCACCCGAGAACCGCTGCTGCCAAGTCACTGTAGCTCGGCAGCTCCTGCATTTAGCATCCACCCCCTGGTGGTCAGTGTGCGTCATAGCTACTGGTTGGATGGACACTTAGCATATTGGCTATATATATATATGTTATCTATTTGTCATTCCCTGCTTTAAGCTGCCGATGGTTTCTTCCTTTGCTTATAATAAACTGAAAATTATTTCTATGCCTTTATATGTTATCTATTTGTCATCCCTGCTTTAAGCTGCCGATGGTTTCTTCCTTTGCTTATAATAAACTGAAAATTATTTCTATGCCTTCAAGGTCAAATAGGGTCTGGCTGGTAATTACCTGTAATCTCACTGCGAACCATTTGACTTACCCTCTCTTGGCTGCTATTTCAATCACTTTGTGTTGCCCAAGAGCCAGAGAATGGTGGAACAATATGGAAAAGCAAAGCTGGAATATGAGGTGATCTATTGCTCACCAAGGCCTCCAGGTCTTGTCCCCACAGTCTGTCTATATTTCCTCAGGGGCATCTCTAACCTCGGTTATTTGTCAATAGATCTAAGTGTTTTGCTGCTCATCTGAGCAGAGGGAAATGGTAGCTACACCACACATGCTAACTCCTATTTCTAAAGCTGAGTGACAAGTTCACTCAGAAGCAGCAGCATCTTTTGTCTGTGCTGACTGAGAAAGCCATATAGCAAATTCTGGGCACCACCAGCTTGTACAGATGTAGGCCAGAGAAATAGCATGTGCAGTTCTAGACAAAGGGAAAACATGTTTCATTAGATACAGAGGATGAATTTGAAAGCAAAAACACCCCAGTGACTAGGAGGGGTCTGACAGAGGAAGGGAGCTGTTTTGCATGAATTGACAAAGGAAGACCAAAGAGAAGAGCAAAATGCAGGTGACATTGACTGGCATACTTGGAGATTCAGATACACTTGATTCTTTCCTATCCCCATGAAAAGACCACTTTTGGGGGGGGGGGCGGGGGCGGGGACTAGGGCTCTTTATTTCAGCCTTCTCCACTGTGTTGAGAAAATATTACTCTGAAAATATATCCAGCTGCAAACAATGAGAAGTCACTGCTCACAACAGGCAATAGAAAGCAGATAACCATCCTCACCGGGAGATGATTAAGGGGCACGTCCACCTGTCCCAGGAAGTCGTCTCGTGTCTGTTGAGAAGAGAGCAGAGAGTTAATGTTCTCATTGATTTCAGAGTGTCAGCATTCTTAAAACATTTCTTTACAGACAGAGACAAAGGTCCAGGGCCTGACACTACGGTGCCACGGGAATGGGTCAAGGCAGATGGCCCAGATAGCTGTCATCTGGGAGACAGGTGAGCCCAGGCCCATAGACCTGACCTTTAGATGCCTGAGGCTTTATGGGATGTCCACTACCCAAGTCTCAGCAAACTGTGCTCTCAACCTTGACTGTGGAGAGCTACCATCCCAGTATCTTACTGGTGGACTGCCTTGCTTTCCCTGCCTGGTACTGAGATATGGGACCGAAGATTACTAGGTTAAGAGCCTGGACTCAAACCGGCCTACCTAGATAGGAGCCTGGAGCAGGTCACAGGTCTTCCTGGTCACCAGGCTCCCCACTAATGAAGTAGGCCTATTAATACTAGTAGTGCCTATATTCTCTGGTTGCTGTGAGGACAAGGTGTGGTCTTGGCAGGGCCTGCTTCGCTGTTGTGGCCCAACATGGCAGGTGCCTCTTCTGGTGTCTGAACAAAGCTGAGACATTTGATTAGTTTAGAACAGGTGATAGGTCATCTATTGGACCTGAGGACAATATGATTGTCAAGAAAGTGTCATTCAGGTTGATCGAGACTTGGGGGTCATAGCTGGACCAATTTAAAGAGAAGATAGTAAAGACATGTTGGGAACATTTTAACAAATACAGGTGTGGCAAAAGGAGGTTGACAGTTGTTCATCTGGAATATTACAAAATAGTTAATAAATAATAATGCAAGCATAAACTGTGTCTCACATACTTACAACTATAAGCCTACCCGGAATTTATTGATCAACTGCTATAAACTAAAGAGCTCCCTGAGAGCTGAGAGTCTAGGGAAAGAGTGCACAGTCTAGCTATTAATAAGTCGTATACATTACTTATAAAAAATGGCCTCATTTCAATCTAGTAAGTACATTGCTTCAGAATCCAAGTTCATGGATTAGTTACTGGTTAAATTGTAGACCCACCATGCTTCTTCCCCTCTCCATCTACTACACAGCACAGATCTTTCTGACTTAAAATAGACTTAGATGAAATTCACTCAGAGAAATTCTCACAGGTGCTTCTTCAGGCTCTGGGAGGCACATGGGAAGGTGTAACTCAGTTCAGGGGTCATGACCTGGCCCATGGGGTGTCTGACAAGTTGTTTGCACTATGTCCTGCTGTTAGAGTGCATGCGTCATAGCCACTGCCCTGGCCCTAGGCACAAACCAGACACAAGGACTTCTATAACCCTCTTATAAAAACAGGCAGTGGCACCTACCACATTCAGAAATGCCTAAAACCTGGCAAGCCCTGTCCCACAGCCACCTTGAGGCCAGACCTCTCACTCTGAATCTGGGCTCTTATTTACACTCTTTACTAGTCTGCCGTGGACTTTTATCATTTATGGAAACCACTTCTCAAATGTACTTGGAAAACGTCTCTTCTTGCATTTAAAAAGCAGCAGCAGGTAAATATAAATGAGAGTTAGTGACATGATTTGCTCCAGGCTTAGGATTTCCTTTTAGGTAATTTAAAAAATGTAATTAACTAGAAAGCTATCTGTCTCCTCTAAACGATGCATGAAGGATAATGGAAAATCAAAGTTACTGCTGGTGTGCAGGAAGCATGAGATAAGCCCAATCCTTATGACGAGATTCTCATTTGTTTTCTTAGCTACATTTGCTATAACCCACCATGGATATACCTCATCTAGCACAAGGCTAGGAGGTGCCAATAAATGCTGTATATATTTTTTAAAATATATTTTTATTGATTTTAGAGAGGACGGGAGAGGGAGAGAGATGAAAAAAACATCAATGATGAGAGAGAATCACTGATTACCTGACTCCTGCACGCCCCCTTCAGGGGATTGAGCCCGAAACCTGGGTATGTGCCCTAACGGGGGATCAAAACATGACCTCCTGGTTCAAAGGTTGACGCTCAACCACTAAACCACAATGGCCGGGCAATGCTATAGATCTTAACAAAAGCAGCAGCCTGCAGAAGGCTCAGAAAAGGAAGGCAGCTTTGCTGTCCAAAGAGTTAGGGAGCATTCCAGCCCCAATCTGGACAGTTTATTTATAATTACAAAACCAGTGTAATTATCAGTTAACTCTACAATAAAAAATTAAAGCAAGAAGTGTGTTGATTACTGACCATAAATTGCCTGTCTACCTAATTGCTACTTGTCCCCTCTCCTCCTGCTACTGGTGCTGATGCTGGGAAAGAAATGGAGATGGGATGCAAATGCCAGAAGGAGATCACCTCACTCAGAGCTCCGGTCATAACCTGATATCATTAAACGGCCATTCACCCATCGTTAACCTCAGTGCACTGCAACAAAAATCCACCTAACAGCTGCACGCCCATGCTGTTTTTCTGGGGAGACGTTCAGAATTCTGAACTGATCAAATGTCTCAGTTTTGTCCAGACACCAGAAGAGGCACCGGCCACGTCGGGCCACAACAGCGAAGGAGAATCTTACTGAGATGGTGGCTCTCCACAGTCGAGGCTGAGAACACAGTTTGCCGAGACTCGGGTGGGGAGTTCTGTGAAAATGCTATTTGCTATGTTATCGTTAACACCACGTCCGGTTTGGACTCTACTTCTTCCCTCCAATGCAATAGTTTTGCTGAATCCCCGAGGCCTGAGGCAGCCTCACTTGTACCTTAACGAGTCTTCCCATTGCATTGAAAAACAATTTCTAAAACCGCCAAAGATGGAGCAACCTCAGGGTTAAAGTACACACAAGGCCCTTATGTCTGGTGGACATCAAGGATGACTAAAATCAAAGAATTTTTAAAATAAAATAGGGATCAAGTCTAGAACAGCACATGGTCCAAAGGAATGGGCTTAACCGAGGGTTTCATCCATCAGTGGAACGTGTTGGTGAGACCTGCTTTCAAAACATCCCACTGCTGCCCAAACCGAAGAAATTGTAGGGAATGTAAAGCACTTAGGTTAATGGCACTATACCAATTTTAAAACATGTCTTCAATACCGCAGAAGAGCTTAGTAGGGGTTCAGAGGGCCGACTAGTGACCTTTGTGCGAGATGAGAAGCAGGCGTGTCTCAAGGACACCTGGGTGTGACAGTAACAAGACAGAAACAGGGTGCCAGGAGGAGGGATCCCCACCTGCAGGCCCTGTAGAGACATTTGAGGCTATCACCATATCCTCAGGTCATCATGCCACAGAATGACATCTTATACCAATATTATAAAAACATGCTATAGCCAATTAATTTTTAATAATTTCCACTACAAAGTTATTTTCATCAAGCTTCATGTTAACTAGAAGTGATTACAAAACCCCAATTAGTTTAACTCATACAGTGACTACTGGCATTTATTGAACTTATTTTTAAGTGGTAAAAACTATCAATTTCAACCTCAATTACCTGTCATACTATTCTAGAGGCTGAAAATGTACAGGTTAGTACCAATTTTAAATGTTCCCTTCTGACAAGCCATCAAATATTTTTCCAATGTCATAACTCAAAACAGAGCCCCTGAAACCTGTCATAGAAGGTAAAAGTGAAATTAATACCAACACTTTCTTTTAGCGCTTGCTCTCTAAACGACGATTAACTGTATTCAGGACCACCCCTCCTGCATTTTATTTATTTATTTATTTATTTATTTATTTATTTATTTATTTATTTATTTAGAAAGCAAGCAAGAGTTTATTGACAACAGCAAAAACAGTGAAATAGGAAGGGCATAGAAGAAGCAACAGGGGAGCCTAGGCTGGGCTGCTTTGGCTCACTGGGAAGTCAGAGAAAAGGGGCCTCGGAGACAGGTTCAGGGGGTTAGCCTGGGATGAGCTGCTGCCGCCCCTTGGTCCCCTGGTTGCAAGTCTCATGGGGTCCCTTAGAGGATACGTGTGGAGGTGCGGACAGGAGGAGGTGGGGAGGGAATGGCACAGTTGTGCTCCCTGAAGGGAAAGTGTGCCTCTCCCTGCTTTTAAATAACTATTCCCTTTCAAATAAGAAGGGTTTTGGTGTCAATGCCACTGGAACCCAATGCTGGGACTGTTCTGGCAGTGCCAGTGAACCCCATTATGGCGCTGGAGCATTTCCCCAGGCTTCCTGCGCGTACGCTGGGCCAGAGCTGCCGGCACCGAGTGCCCACCAGGCTCAGTTGTCTTCACAAATGAATGAGACACAATTGCACAAAGAACACATGAAAAAAACAGCAAAGTCTTTCTTTAGGTCAGAACTGCACTTGAAGGACATGATCTGAATCTCACTGCACACTAATGACCACGGAGGTCATGGGTAAATGAGGCGAGGGCCGTGCATTTCCCAAGGAGGCCGAGAAAGAGCGCGCAGGACCACATGGGAAGAAAGGCACTGGAAGCAGGGAGGATGCTCGCAGGGCAAGCAGGGGCCAGAAAGGCTCATTAGGAAGGTGCATCAGAGAGCTGGCACTTCCTGCAAGGTACAATGACTGCACGGAATAGTGCAGCTTTACATTAAGGTAGTTTCAACTGTGAGTAGTTCACAAGAAGCTTTTTTAAAAAATTAAAAATAATGGAAGAGAAAATATTAGTGTCTCACATGAATTATTGAGCAAGTACTGTTTTGAGAAACTTATTTCAGTTACGTACATATATGAGTGTGTGTGCTAAGTTTTGACCTAAAATTAATTTTTCTTTGTGTAACATCATCAAAAGTTTAAAAGCCACTGAACTTATAGCAAATGAAAACCGGCCAGTACTACCAATGGCTGGGGTTTATCCTAGCAATCATTAAGTAGTGATTTTTAAGAAAATTATATTGAGAATTTCTCAAGACAAATGGGACAGAAGTCTGGAGAAATTAGAACATAAGCTACAGAAAAGGAATTAAAGAGTAAAGCTATAGTATGATTTGATGTTTGTATTTTACAAACCGAAGGAAAATGACCACCATGAAATGCACCTCTCCTGTGTGCTGCTGCCTTCCA